AAAGACAAAGACACATTTGATCTAGACATTCTTGGCAGATATGGAATCAAATGAACAATTTGTCGGCTTTTCAAGGTCGAACAGGTGCAAAAAAAGACACAAGGTTATAATTAACTAATATAAGTCTTATGATATAGTTGAGTTTAATGAGAGTGGAAAAGTGATTCAGTCCTTTGTCTTACAATTACAAAAGGGTGTGTAAAATGCTCTTGAACGAACAATTGACTTTTAGTATTAGATGAAAACATAACTATATTTTATTTTTGGAATAAGGAAAATTTAAAAAAGTATTATTTTTAATATATAAGTAAGAACTCAAATTTCGAACTTCAAAATACGAAATAAATTTTATTCATAAATTGAATAAAAGACAAAAGTGTTTATGTTTGTATTTGACAACTCGAAAGGCTAAGCAACTTAAAAATGGATACATATATTGAAGAGTCCTATACAAATTCTTTTAAGTTAAGCTAATGAAAATAAATCCAAATGATACAAAAAAGTAGACTTTTTTTAAATAAGCAGACAAAATTTTTTAAATGAGATTTAACTTTTTATAAGTTAAAGTTAATACATTTTGTATAAAATACTTAAGAAAGGATTTCAATGAACGATTACGAGTATCATATAAACCTTGTTCAGGAGTATCCCAATAATTTCCACCCCATATTTACAAAAACACAATAGTTAATTCGTATAAAAAACGCTGATTGGCTTTATTTATAACGCTTTCGTCAATCTTTACATTGTTGCAGATTACTAGAATACAATGGGATATTTACAGGTTGACAGGGCATATCATAGGACGATATGCCAGACAGATAGATAGATATAGCGATAGATGTAGAGTAGAGAAAGACAGGATAGCAGATGGGAAGTAATTGAAGAGTTCTCAAAAAATAAAATTAACATGCTGTCGTTTGTTGGTTTGTTGTAGTTGTTGTAATTGCTGTTGGACTTATATATTGCTGAGTGCGTTGGGAAATGTCCAAGAGGATATGGACATGGACCCAAGATCAGGATCGTGTTCGTATCGGGGGGACTAAGAGCGGTGTGCTTAACAATAAGTGTACAGAGAGAGATGGGTATTTATCCGGTTGGAGTAGTCGTGGTAAGTCGCTGAAGCAGTTGGAGATCAGTGGTAGATACTGCCGTCCATCCGCTCCGTTTGGCATCGGTTTGGGTTACTGGGTGATAGTTGGTAGTTCCCGACTTACAGAGTTCCCGGGGCGGGGGCCACGTTCACGGAGGTGGCGGAGTTGATGTGTCCGGCAAGGGGAGCGGTGTGGATGGCACCACGGGTCTTGGCCACATAGACGCCCTCATGGCCATGGCCGGCGGCCAGACCAGGTCCCTGGGCGAGGTTGATTCCGGGAACGGCAGCGCCGTGCCATCCGGCACCGGTCAGACCCCAGGGAGCAGCGGCGCTAGCGTGGACGGCCACGGCGGCAGGTGCGCCCCAAGCGGCACCGTTCCAGCCGTTGTTCCAGGCGCCGTTCCAGGCACCGTTCCAGGCTCCGTTCCAGGCTCCGTTCCACAGACCAGGTCCACCATGGGCCACGGGGCTCACATAGGACACACCGGGAGCGATCTGGGCCCACGAGGCATGAGCTCCAGCCAGGGCGCACACGAACATGACTACGGCAACGGCGAACTGAAAGACCATATAAGAATGTCAGTATCTTTCAAGATTCTAGGAACCATTCTTAGAACAATTTCAAAACTTTTCAAAAACTTTTCGAAAATGTTGAATTTGTTTTGAGAATACTGATTTGAACGTTCTGGAATAGTTTTCAAGAATACTCTTTCGAAAATTCTAAAATAGTTTTTAGAATAATGCTTTGAATATTCCAAAAAAATTTCCAGAACTCTTTGAAAATTCTGAAAATGTTTTCAGATTTAGTCCTGATGATATCGCCTCACCTTCATGTTGGTTGTTTTGGGGTGGGTTTTGAAGCTGGGTTGTTGAAGGAGAAGTAGTGTTGAATACTCAGCGAACGAGTTGATTCTGATTTCGACTACCAAATTGTGGCAACTTATATACGAAAAACGCGGCGCGGACTTTGCTTCGCTTTTCCAATTCCAAAACCGAAACCTGCCCCCCAAGTCAAGAAAATATATATCAAAAAGCGCCAGAGAGGCGAATGGCGCGAGAGACTCTGCTCTAGAGACGCCGACGCCCAAGCCCAAGTCTCGGGCAGAATTGGAGTACCCATACCATACCATAGTAGATCCGCTCCGGGTTTTGGCCTTTCACTGCCCAGCTGCTCGAAGATCTCTGCCTTGGGTGTCGCTTCCCGCTTCACCTGACCACCACCCTCCCAGGCCACGCCCCTCTCACCCACGAAAAGGGGGCGGCGGGCGTCAATGATTGCGCAAATTACCACAGTCGGACTTCTATAGCTCAAAACCAATAATGCACACAACATATACGGATCAGCAATAAATATGTAATCCTTATACCAGTCTATGCCATTTATAATGTGTATAAAACTAGAGCACACTAAATTAATAGATCTATGTATATTTAAGGAAGTAAAAAAATGTTAAAATTTAAAAATCATATTTATGGACACCTATTTATAATAAAATTTTTACTTACATTAATTATATATATCCCCAAACTGTCTAGTATGTTACCTTTACAATGCGTATAGAAATAAAGCACCCTAAATCAATAGATCTATGTATATTTAAGTAAGTGAGAAAATGTTAAGATTTAAGAATCATAAATATGAACACCTAATTAAAATAAAAATTCGACTTATTTTAATTATATATATCCCCAAATTGTCTAATATATTACCTTTTATAACTATTTACAGTCAAGATAAAGGATATTCATTTAAATTTGATATTGTGGGTACATTTTAGAAACAATTTTCTATAGGAAGTAGTTTTACTATAAGTAGTATAAAAATGTATATACTAAAAGTTTAAAAAAGTTTAGTCCTAAAAGTTGAATACAAATTTTTTATAATATGCAATTGTTTAAAATAAAATCCAACCTGTCAGCCTTTCTGAAAACAAATACAGGTTGCTTTTAAAGATACTCAAAATTTTGTCTTATGGAAGCTGGACTGTATAAACAAGAATTTACAGCCGAGGGTGAAACACAAATACACATAAGCATAGATATTGAACCGACACAATCGGTTGGTCCAATCAGCGGCTTGAAAATTGCCACAAACACCAAATTATATTGATAAAGCACAAACACATTTAAAAAGTCATAAGCATGGGGCCTAAAGCATTCAATTTGCAATGGCATAGAGCAAAGTTTTTGCTGCATTAGCTTTCAGAATTCTTTGTTGCAATTATATAGTCCGTTGGTATGAGTGCCCAGCTTTGCAGCTTGGGGCATGGAATTTCTGTAAAGCTAAGTATAATAAAGTCGCGTGCCTACACTGAAATAACAATTACTTGGCCCCAAGGCGGTCTTAGAACTTAGCCTCTGCAATGACTTAATCAATGCAATAAAATTAACTTGGCTTTAAATGCCAAAAAACTAACCAACCGTTAAACTCCTTCAGTAATCAATTTGGTTTTAATGTGTTCACACATTAAGTGCTGGTTGAGAAAGGAAATGCCTTACAAAATCGATAGTCAAATCGGAATCAGTCATTTTTGTGAATATCATGCGCGTTTATTGGATTTCCATTACCAATTTTATTCACAGAATGTTTCTAAGTTAGTAATCCTAACAAAGTTTTCTGAAATATATATATCACAAAATTTCAAAGTATTCCAAAACACGCCATCCTATATTAGATATATAAATCAAACTGACGTCAGGAAGGTCGTGATTTCCCGTCGCAAATTCCAGAACTTTGGAATTTTTCGCAGTGTTTAAATAAACAATTAGCCTCTGCAGTTTTGCCTTGTTTTCGCTGCCGGTGCTCCACCAAAAATAGGAAGGCAATTCTCGCATTGCGGCGGGGCAACGCCCAAGAATAAATATAATCAAAGGCTGTCAGCATTGGCAAACAATAAAAATGCAAAATAGCAAAGCGAATTGGTGGACTACATTTCCATGTTTGGGGCATTTGGCTTAAACCCCCGGCCAATTGCAGCCTCAACTTGAAATTGTCACGGACATGCAGATCAAAAACGCTGGCCACGTTTATTTTTATTTTTCATTTAGACGTGGGTCAGAGTGTCAAACTGGCCAAATGTGAGACTGAAACCATTTAGAAAACAGCTGCAGCGAAAAATAAATGTGATCCATTAATCACATCCAATATGATTATGCATAGGGCAACGAAACGGGTCTCGATGGAATGTCATACACGTCTAACTGGCGCAATTAGACCAACTTTGGCTAGAAAACCGGAGCAATTTTGTATTTGAAGAATGGGCCGGGCCCTTCACCTCGGTTCTATTAGAGCTTCATTAATAAACCAGCTTGCCTAAAATATGCATTATGGCAACCAATTGCAATTCAACTGATGACGAAATACCCAGCGTTTTATTGCAAATTTAAGAGATTTTTCTGGCGATGACCAGCACACAATGCAGGCCAATTTTTTAGGGCGTGTTTCCATTTTTCCTATTCTATTTTATACCATTGTTTCGCTCTGGCAAGTGGGCGGGGCGCTCTAGTAATAACCATCTTGTCGGTTTGGTAATGATCGGTCAGTTTATCGCCCGCAAATCGCATAATTGGTGCAGGTTATTTTCAACCAGGCCGCAATTATGCAAATTTTCCAAACACATTTACATGGCACTACATCATGCTTAGAAAAAAACTAAGCTTTTTAAGCTGAGCTGAAACTATTAGCTTTTAAAATGTTAAAAATTGAAAATTATTTCACTTTATTTAAAACATAAGCTTTCATTAAACTTTAATAATATGTAATAATATGTAATTATTGCTTGACACTTCACCATCCCTGTTTTCACTGTCGAGCTTCGAAATTTCCAGGACCTAAATCGTAAAGTGTGTAGCAGCCTTTTAAGTATGTAAAATCGCTTGGTGACAAGGAGCCTATTGCTAACCTATCGAAAAAATTCATGACAGCTGTTCAGTTTGATAACTTTGCACGAGAACGTTCCGTCGTAAAATTGTTAAATCTACTGAAATTTTCATTTCTTGTTTTATTTTTCTATCTACAAAATGAGTCAATTGGTTGCCAAGGCCCAGGCCCTAGCCAACAGTAAGTTGTACACTCCTATTATGGCTAAAATATAATGAAAACCTGGTATTACACAGAGTTAGTTGTGGCAGCACGTCCGCAGCTTGAAGAATTCTGGAAGTACGCCAAGGTGGAGCTGTCGCCTCCGTTGCCCGCTGATTTCCAGAAGTTAAGGAAGACCGCCGAGAGCGCCAAGAACGTCGCCAAGAAGGATGTGATGAAGAAGTCGGGATTTTCCCAGATCACCGTCAGCGAGGCCTGGCTAAATGTTCTGGTCACCGTGGAGGTTATTACCTGGTTCTACATGGGCGAGGTCATCGGTCGCCGTCACTTCGTCGGCTACAAGGTCTAAACTAAACTGATCTAATACTTTCCTTATTGTTTTTCGTTGTATGTATGCAAATAGCTCTTTGCTTTATGACCAGGTGCACTGAATAAAGGTGCACTATCAGCATTACAATCATGGGTGTAGCCTTTTTATTTCATAATTCTAGACATTTTGTATTCCCCATCAATATATTTTCTTAACAAGCTTAAGGTAGGCACTTAAATTCATGTGTGGTGTCTTTTCCCAACCTCTAATTTCTATTGAACCCGTAGTTTTTAGGGAGATTCCGAACGTTCTTAGTTCGCTATAATAACTTCCCATTCTTTTTTAACGATCAAAATAGTGCTTCCTAATGTCTTTCTGTTGTTCGTAATTATTTGCATACATAAATTCTTGGTGACCAGGTGCACAGCATGAATACGCCCACTTCGTCATAAAGAGCTGCCCCGCCTTGAATTCCGGATAACCACTGGCCCGGCATGAGCAACGCGCTCAATTGAGATCTGCGATCCGCTGAGCTGGCATTGATCTTGGGCATAGAATTCAGAGTCTCCACTGCGCAGGCGTCCGAGCGGCAAGGCGTTAGGTTTCTAAGGCGCTGCGACAGCGGACACGGGCTGCACTCCGGTCAAGTGGCATAAATCAGGTTGACGCCGTGGCAGTTGCACAACCCAAAGCAAAACAATGGCAACCGACGTGTGCCCCACCAGAACGGCAAAGTCGAGGGTACAGTCATATTAGCTGATTTAAATTTTCTGTAAAAAAATATAATTTTAAATTCACTTGAATTATAAATACTAATATCCTTCACCGTTTTTTTTTTTTTTAAAAAATTATACAGAACTATGTATTTTTTTGCATTTGTATTTAAAGATTAATATTTAAATAAAAAAAAAACAAAGCTTGCTTTACAAAAAAAGAGAACGTATGCAAAAAGGACAAAAATTATTTTCCACGTTGTTTAAATTGAAATAACAATTCCGCTAACAGCTAAAAATCATGTACGACACATTTATAGTTACCTTTGGCTCATAGATCTTTTGAGATATTAGTTCGAGTTTAATTTTATTTGTCTGACTGTAGATCGAATTTACCGCTTGTCCCAATTTTAATGGCATTTTAATAACAAAGCCAGCTAGCACCAGCCTTTGTTGCAATCTCACCGCCCGATTGCATCATGCCAAGTCCGCATAGACTACTCAGTATAGTCTTGTGGGTCCTTATCACAACTCCCCGACTGACAACGCCCACTTTTGGTTAGATGAATGCGAAATTCGTATTAAAATCGCATAAACAGAATGAAACTAATTGTGTTGGGTGAGGAGGGAAGCCATTGGTTAGGGGGGGAAATCAATGTTAGCCACGCTTGAATTCAATTTGGCGGCTGCCGATTGTTGCAACTTGTTACTTGCAGCTTGGAAGTGGCAACGAGGTGGAGGCCCAGTGGGGTGGGCTTTCGACCAGCCAGAGGTATTTTGGTATCCAGCATTTGGTAACCGGCGTTTCCACCCACACCGCCAACACCTCTGGCCTGCTGCTCATTATTTAATTTGGTTTTCATACACTACGTGTGAAATAAACACCAGCGGTCCACCTGGCACACCTGTAAGGCTCATTTAAATTTTAAGGAAATCATTGGGTATGCAACAGAAAGAATTGGAAACCACAAAATCGTTTTGATTTTTTAGCTGGCTTTAAGAGATCTGTTTCAAAATCGACGGTCTTAAATAACATACTTTATCTATTAATCAGAGACACTTATGTAATAAAAATGAGAATATGTTCTAACCCAGTCCATAATTTGTATTCTTTAGATAGGTAGTTGTATTTTTAGCAAATATATTAAAATTAAAAAGCTCATAATAATCTTTAAAATGGCATTTTGAAAACCAAAAAAATAACCATTTTGGTAAGATCATCTATAAGTCTACCAGTAAATATTCCATTTACTCTTAATTGTTATTCGAACTAAATTAATTTAACTAGCCTGCATAGGCAATCACACTTGGACTCTGGCAAAGGCATTTTCGAGTGGGCGGCCTCCAAAAGGCTGTTTCTATTTTTATTATTTTGGAATCGAACTGAGAGCCGCACATGATGCAATTGCAATCGTAACGTAATCAATTGGTCAAGTATTCCCCCTACAGCCGTTAGTCTGCGATCAAGATCCGTGGGTAATTAATCCAATTACAATTAGCATGCTAAGCGGACGCCTAATGGTCATTAGGAGAGGACAATAATTAACCACTTTTGTGGCCACGGTTGTCACTACACAACTGTCACAACTAACAAAGAGCTTAGCCACACAATTGTTGCTAATTCAACGAGTTCTATATGGGCTGGTTAGTGTGTTTATGACGTTAGCAAGTGGCTGGCGGAATGTCTGGATTGTGGGGGGCCAGGGCCCCCTTTTTCACATACATATTTTCCTTTTTCCATCCAGCTGCTGCCACGAAACTCACAAAAATCTGAACGAGTGTGTGCAACAAGTTTGTTTGCCGCTCATGCAACCCGCCAGATACTTGTCGCTCACTCAGCGGCGAATATTTGGCTACAGGTTGCTGCCCCATGCCAGCCGTACTATATTTAGGCCACCAACCAGTTGTGGGTGCGGATAAGAAAGCCGTGCCGCTGTGCGGTATTACGAAATACCTCTGGCCAATGTGGGGTTTTTTTTCTGGCTCTTAAAAAATCGATTGCTAGTGTCCACAAGAAACCGCCTCGTTCTGATCGGTTCTGGTGAATGAATCACTCGAACCAACTGCAGAACTGGTCCGATCCTTCGCGGAACACTGACCTTATTCAATAACTCATCGCCCACGCGAAAGTAGACGGCTTAAATGATGTAAGCTTTCGTACACGTGTAAAAATAAAAAAGGTAGTCTAAAATATTTTAAAATTTTATTAACATAAAAATACTTGCCTTAACCTCAACAAGTCGCAGATATATACAACATCCAGATTATAGGTATTACGATCGAATATGTATAACCTTTTCGCTCAAACATAATCTTTATATAATGATAAACTAAATCAAGTTTTAAATACAGATCATTTTGCTTATAATAATTACAATCAATAGGGCTTATGGAAATGTTTAAAAAATTATTTGACAACATTTAAAAACGATTTGTTTTGGTGTGTTTTGCATAAATCTAAATATTAAAACAATATTTTAAATTTTTTTAATAAGGTGACTAGAAATAATTTATTTAGAAAATAGAACAAAATACTAATTTATAAGAGAACTTTGGACCTTAAAAAATATAAATGATTGATTTAGAACCTGGATACAAATTTAGCTTAGTTCTTATTTAATAGTCAAATTGGAAACTTCTTACAAACATGATATGATATATATGATTTATTATAAATCTTAAACTCCGATTTCAAGTAAAAGCAATAAATTCACTCCTTTGCTATAAGAAATGTAATGATTTTGCTGTGTAACAACCAGAAGTGATCACCAAAAACCGAACTGCCTTCGCCTTGCCCACAAAAGTGCGAATTGCGTAGACCAGAAATTAAATTCAATCCATCGCAGTGGGCCAAGTTGAACTCGCTTTTCTGCGTGGCAAACCAGAAACTGCGAAATGCGTTTGCCTCAAGTGCGTCGAGTGCAGTGAACCCGTTCGCAGCAGGAAGTTACAGAAAAGTGCGTAAACTTGAACTTGGTGGGGCATGAAAAAAAAGGGGGGAGTGGTTTTTAGACCCAGTTGCAATCCGGTGGCTGCGTCATGCGTTTTGTGGATTTGCGTGCACGCAGCCAGCGATCGAGTTAAAACCCACTTGCGAATAAAGAAAACAAAAAGTGAATGGCTGGGGCTAGATTTATGGCCAATTGCCATGGGGCTTGGCTGCCGACACGACACTAAACAACTGAACAGCGCCAGCAAAATGTTTAGCTGCTGTTTGTATAGCTGCCACTTGTCCCCCGCTTCCGCACCCCCCACTGAGTCGCCGCCCATGCCCCTTTTCTTGGCATCACGTTCCGGCGTCAATTGACACTTTTATTGAAAGCTCAGGCATTTTTCGCTTATCATGTTTTTCGGTCAAATCCATTTTCAGTCAAAAAGCTGGGGCATCTAGACGGCAGTTATTATTTTCCTGTTATATTTAAAACAATGGATACCCTTAAAATAAAAATACTTACAAATGTTTTCCAATAAGAAGATATTCGTACGAAGCGCTTTAAAGTCAAAATAATACCTTATAGTAGATCAAACAATTTGCCTTTGTATTTCTTCTTGAAAAATGTAGACTGTTCTTTGTTTAACTCTTAAAGAATGTGTTTTTACCATACACAACTGTTCTATAATTATTTTGCGAGAAGCTATTAAAAGCAACATTTAATTACCTAAGCTAACAGATTGACTAATAAAAATGGTAGCAAGAATTGTATTATGGCACATTCGCATAGATATATTTTTACTGACGTATACCCTATAACCCTCTATGGTAACATAAAATCCTACATATCCCATTGGAATCGGGAACAGCCGCCTAACGGCTTTCAATGGCCCGCTGTGGGCGTTTAGGCGGATCTGATTTGATCTGAGCTGAACTGAACTGCATTACTTTGCATGGGCATTACTTAACTCCATCGCGGCCATATCAAGTTTTTGCACATTTTTTCTATTTATAATTGCAAGTGCGAGTGTGCGGCGATCAAGGCAAACCGCAACTGCTCCAGATCGCGTAGTACTCTCGTTTTCAGCTCGGATACCAGTTCGGAGGCAGTTTTGCGAGCTGGCAACAACTTTGTCCAGCTGCCGAGCAACTGCGTCTCGTTTCTGGAACGGCTCTTTGTCAACGCCCCTGCTGTAGCGCCGTTTTAAGGCCCCGGAATTGATTAATTACTGGCATCGGTAATCGGCCATCGATCGAGATTGTTTTATGCCATTTAGCTGTCTAATATTTGCTGGACTTGAAGGCGTGGGAGTTGGGCAAAGGGTGGGGTCTATAATTGGCCATCAAAAGGTGAGCTGATCCCCTGTTAATTGCGTAAGAATTATTGCAAATTATTCTTCTGGTATTAAGATGTAGACATTTCAGTAAATTGGAAAAAACTCAAGAAATAGGTCTGCTTAACTTAATTATAAGAGAGTTTGTGAGTACCGGGTCTTCTGTAATACTTACTTATCAGTTTGAAATGGTTGTATTTACATTTATCTCTCTCTCTGCATTATCTCTCTATTTAATAATAATATTTTTAAGTTTTCCCCATATGCCTTTTCCCAACTAAAATTCATTTCAATTGTTTTGATAACATTTTTTTATTCAAAAAGAAACAAATTTCAAGATGACAACAGTGGGGCGGATAAATATAGACCAGAGAATAAAGCGGAAAGCGATAGACTGGATAGGATTGACTTAGATTGCTGAAGAAATGAGAACCCGAGAGTGTCTCAAGGGTGGAAAGACCATGCGGAACTTAAAAAACCAAAAATTGTGGTAAGGATGCGAGTAAAGTGGCGGTCAAGATCGATGTAGGGGTAATCCATGGGGTATTCCAGGTGGTCTTTTACCAGGTGCCTGGTGCGGGTTCCAGGTTCACGGAGGCGGCGGACTGCACGTGTCCGGGCAGAGGAGCCACATGGACGGCTCCACGGGTCTTGGCCACATAGCTGGCCTCAGGAGCGGCGACGGCCACCACTGCGGGGGCATGGGCAGCAATCACGGCCGGAGCGGGAGCGGCGATCACCGCCGGTCCAGACTGGATGAGCAGGGGTCCAGCCGGGGAAAGGGACAGGGGAACGGCAGCGGGAACAGCCGATGCCTGGATGGCCACCGAACCGGCGACGGCAGGGGCTCCGACCACCACTCCTCCATGGACGGTGGACAGGAGGGGCACCACCGAGCTGTTGACACCCCAGGCCAAAGCGAACAGGACTACGACAACGGCGAACTGGAAATAAAGATGGAAATTAGGATTAATAAATTTATATGCAAATATTAAAGATCATATCAGGCTATTTTTATAAACTATTATAGTTGCGACGCCTCTGTTGATGCCTAAAAACAACTCGTTTTCTAAATTAAAAATGACTTGATTGTCTTATAAGTTTAGCAGACTTTTATATTGTGTACTGTTTGTCAATCTTTTTTTTTTAGCAAAATACAAAAAAATTCTTTAACAAATAATTAAATATTACTCATAAATGTCGATTCCTGTGTCGATTCAGCAACTAAAAACAACTCGTTTTCTAAATTAAAAATGACTTAGATTGTCTTATAAGTTTAGCAGACTTTTATAGTGTGTACTGTTTGCCAATCTTTTTTTTAGCAAAATACAAAAAAATTCTTTAACAAATAGTTAAATATTACTCATAGGTGTCGATTCCTGTGTAGATATACCAAAAATAATACCAGGTTGAATTAAGATATGAACAGCAGTTTTCTTATGCTTCTCTGATATCCCGGACAAAACATAATATAAACATTTTGTTTAGAGTTTTGAACTGAATCAAAGTGAGTTTCTTAAATTGTGATGATTTAATATAATATAATATGATGTGTATTCAAATCCTTGAATTCTTTTTACACTACACACTGTACACAATTTAACTTGCTTCAACCGCATTAAATTAATTAAATCTATTTGAATTCCTTTTAATATTTAAAATTTAATGTTCTGATCCTAATTTTTTTTTATCCAGCAAACAACAGTTTATGCCTTAGTTATACGATTTCCCTTCAATCTCACCTTCATGTTTGCTTCTGTGATCTCAGTGACGCTTGAAACGAAACTAACTGACATCTGCCGGTTGCCCCACAGTTTTTATAGCTCCGATCCATAATTCCATTTAGCATATAAGGCCAGTTCTCCGATCGACCAGGCCAGCCATGTGTATGTTTGCTGCACAAATGCGGAAACTGGCCCAGAGAACAAACCACGTAATACCCGCAACACCCCAACCCCTTGACCTTCCCGATTCAATATCTACAGGCCATTGACGACAATTCAAGTGCGCGACAATTAGCCATGCCGGTTGACATGTCGAAAACAAGACTGGTCGCATTTGATTCGGCCAATCCATAACCATGACTTCAATCTATATGATATCAACTGAAGCTGTGCCGCGGGTGCCCCTAACAACAATGGATAGGCAAATTACTAGCCACCGGCGAACCACTGTACCACCTTCGCCCCACACACATTCAGCACCACTGGCTGTCCATTAAAATTTCATCAGCAGAATGTAATTAAATTCACTTCAGTAAGCCTGCCCTGAAATTAATGTGCCCGCCGCCAGTTCTCGGCAGACTGTTCCATTTTGGTCGCCGACTCTCGACTTCTAGATTGCATTTGCATATCACCAAAGCAGCCGACGCCAACAAATGCCCAGAGATGCGATATAGGGTAAAAACTGGTGCAAGGGTAAACACACCCCAATAAAATAAAAACTATAAAATCGTATTATATAAAATAAATAATTTTAAAAAATGCTTGTGAGCGATTAGTGAAGAAAAATTTTATTTAAATCTCTATTCTGTTTATAAGTTAAGTTAAGATTACACCTTTTTCTAGAGTATTTCGTAGATCGTTTATTGAACATATAGCAATTCCATAAATATATCGTTAATCAAATAGAACGACTTTCGCTTTCTACTCGGGAAGCAATCACTTAATGTATGCACTACTCTTATCTAATAAATTACGAATTATTATAATAGCAATGAAGCTCATATATATATCAACAGTGCATTAATAGCCATATAAAGTATTACTAATATATCTTACAATAAAAGTCAAGCAATGCCAACACAATTCCCTTTTATTTAACAGTCATTATAAGCTCATGTCAAAGCAAAATCTTCAGTCACTCCACACAACATAGTTATCCTCTTTCAGACAAGCACAATTTATATTTTCAAGGACATTGCTTGCTTCCGGAGAAGCAGGATCACATTGGATTCTAGAAAAGATTCAGTCGGGTTGAAATGGCACGCCTTGTGTTTACGGAGAAAGATCACAATGCCTACGATCCCAAAAAGTACAAGGTAAGGGTCGATCACAGTGCATAAAATGAATAATAAACATAAAATTAAATATTTATCTATAGGTAGTACACAAGAACCATTGGAGGCAGGTGAGCCTTCTGCTGCAGCCTTCGAACAAGAAATGGTGGGAGGATCCCGATGTCATTGTTGCGTGAGTACAGAACATTCAATGCCAAAACACCAGCTGAGGTGGAAGGGGTGGTGTTTAAGCACACGTGTCAGAAACCATCGCCATCAAGTGCTTTTCAAGCTTTTTATGGCCACACAAAGGAAAAAACAAAGTACTATTTATATAGTTTACTCTAAAAACTAGGTAAAATTAATAAGAATCGTCTTATTATTAAATATTTTATTCTATTTTGCGTTACAAACAAGCAAAAATAATACATTAGAACTGTTGTAAAAGCAACCTAAAGGCATGTTCTCCAACATTCTTAGGCAATCTGACCAAAAATATTTGTTTAATGTTCTTAAAATGTATTTAATATCTTAAAATTTAAATTGAGTTATAAAACGTAGGATCTCCAATGTTTCTAATATAGGAATGATCTTTAAATTTTTGTTTGTGTTTATTTACTTATTTATAAACATTTGTATATGCTTTTGCCAAAACTATACCAAATATGAGTCAATTTTTGCTGTGTAGTTAAGTTGGCCGATTCTTGGTTCGGTGACTCTGACACCGATTGGCGCCAATGCAGCCGCTGCCATTCAATTAAGATTCGTTGGCACAGCCGCGGCCATAATATTTTATTGCATCCATCAAATTGTCAGCCTTACACATAAAGTATTGCCCCACCACACCCAGAAATATTTCCATGGCAATTAAATCTGCGATGGGGAAACATTCGCACTCAATTGCATCACATCGTCTGATAAGAGTTTATATCGCCAACCCATCCTGTCCCCCAAACTTGGCCAAAAATCTTTCTGGGGTTGGGTGGGTGGTGCTAATTTCCGGGCCACATTTAGTCACGCGATGCTAACGAAGCCTTTGATAGATGGCTCAACTTCTCGAATGCAAATGAACACCCTGGAAAGGGGGAGACCAAGTGCAGCCATCAGCTGTCGGCGAAACTTTGGCAAGTAATTGGGGAACAGGAGTGATGGAAACGGGAAATTGGCTTGGTTATTCTCACTGGGTCGTCGGAGAATTCAGTTTCGCGGGTTGCCTCCTGGGTGGGCGGTAAACTCAAGAATTGTCTGGCCTCAAGGTTAAGATCCTTGCTTGATATAAGGGAAATTGAAACAAAAGGCTTGAATTTATGTAGACAAATTGGTGTCATAGATCATCTTAAATGATACATATTTTAATGAAGTTTTCTCTGAGACCATTAGAATTGCTTGTATAATAAATTTAACAAACATTCAATGAAGTATTTCTTATAAAATTAAATTCAATTGAAGAAATGAAAGCATTTAAGTAACACTGAGCTGCATAGCCCTACAAATTCCTTAAATATTCCTGTAATGATGTTTCCTAACCATGATCATACCTATACTAGATCCCATTATTTCTTGTGACAACCCTTAATGACCTTTAAGATACCATAAATTTCATTGCTTATTTTCACCAGATAATGCTGAGTGTAAAATAAATTACAATTTTGTTTTTCTTTAATATTTTTTTATAATATACATTTCTTTATATAATATATTTAATTTTTCATTAACTAAAAACATAAACGGTATTAATCGAACCGTTTTCTTCTTTTCAAATTTCATATTCATCAGAGTTCTTTTAAACAGTTTTTTAGCGGACACAGTCATTTATAAATCATATATATTCTTTTTCAAATTTTAAAACATTAAGATTTGGTCCTTAACTACGATTAAGGACCTCAGTGACAAAAGTCCGGAACTAGAAAACTTTCCAATCCCCATATTCCATAAGGAACCAATTTAGGAACAGTGTAAGGGAAAATCCATTAGGGCCCCTTTGCGCCATTAGCACTGGCATAACTCAGCTTTTGTCTGGGCTGCGTATCCACAATGATGCGAGGTGCCAGGCAGAGTCCCAAACAAACGCGAACGGGGTAATGAAAAAGCCGTTTGGAGTTGGTATGGGGAATACCATATAATCCACCGATGCAATGCCGACACTTTGCGTGTTCAATAAAAAGGAAAGCGGCAGGCGGAAAACGGTGTCAGTGCGAGGACAACGAAGAAGGAAAGTACTTAAGCGGCGCGTCACTCAATCAGAATGATATTATTTTTAATGGCGCAAAATGGATACAATAAACAGCGAGTACGGGCGCGTGGCTGCCACGCAACGGACACGCCGCCGTTGCTGATCCCACCCAGAAACAGTATCCGAATCGTGTGCCATTCCATCACAGTCGTCGCAGGATGAGGACGAAGTTTTAAACGGAATCAGAAACTTAATTACATTTCAATTTGGGCCTAAACAAACTGTTCCGCATATGTCACTCACGGCCGTGAAGTCTGATGCCTCCGGGATCGGGGTGGTGGGCGTGGGACTCGGCGGAACTGTTGCACTATCCGACTCCCGGGAGTGGGCTCCCCCGCCACCGGGCAAGCGATGTGCCACGGTGACTATGCTCCTGGCCCAGAGGATTGCACGCAACGCTTGCTGGTCAGTCGACGAGGAGACCTCGTTCAGTGCGAACAAGATGAACGTCTGGCAGACGCTGGAGTACCTTTCGGGGCTGAGTCTGCGGAAGAAGTACAACTACGAGGGCTTCTCGGACACCCACAATGTGCTCAGGACCCTCACGCCCTCCTGGCGGCGGGATAGCTTCGCCGAGAAGGCCAAGGCCGAGGAACTGGCTGGCGGAGCGGCTGCATCGGCGGTCAAGAAGTATCCCGAGGAACGCTCCTCGAGTGCTCCCCTTATCGCTGTCGAGGACCCGGGCTTAGGTACCAGCTTCCAGAGCAGTGATAATGTCGCCATGTGCGTTCGACCCAGGGCGAAAAGTCCATCCGGACCGCGCAGAAAGCATCGCAGCCGGAACCGGAAACGAAATACTCCCCACCTGGATCCCGAGTACGCCCTGTCGCCGGAGGACCTGCAGGATCTCGTCAAGTGCAAGTAAGACTGAAATAAGATTAAATAGCACATACAAAGTGTTCAATCAAGACCACGAAATCAAAAAATTATTCATGTCAGATTTTTAGAAGAAGTGCTTTATATAGATAAAGTTTCTGGAATTAATTACACAACCCACAAACAAATAATAACTAAATGAAAACTGTAGTATTTCATTTTTGTTTTTCTAAAATAATTATTAATTTACCAAAGACATTTTTTAAATCAATTTGAAAATGTGTTTTAATGAAAAAATGTTTTTGAGAACTATAATAAGTGCTTTAGTTATAAATTTTAATCTATATTTGGCTAGTTAATTAGGGGCAACTATAACGTTTCTTTAAAATATCACCATTAGTTCTCTTAACACTTAATGATACTTCCAAAAATTAAAAATGCCGTACATAGTGTTTTTTAAGTGTAGCTACTAAGAAAAGCTTTCTACAAAGCTCACCAGGTTCATAAACCTGTGCTGGCTCTGATGAAAATATGTATATCCAAAGCACAAACCATTAATATGAATACATTGGCCCTCAATGGAACATTTTTAACATTTACTTAATATTTTTTAGGATTCCAATTGCTTCTAAATACAGCCAAAACTAAATTTTACTATAGATTCGCATAATGGCCTTATCCAAGTGTTAGTCGCACAATTTGTGTGCGACAGCCAAACTAATATAAAAAGTAGTAGTCGAAATAGAAGTGGGAGGTTCTAGAGGATTATTCGTTGACTCATTCTGAAAAAAGAAAAGTTCGCCTGGGAAAATATCTAAGCTGACGCACAGACACAAAGCAATCGCAAATGACTGCAGTAAAATGCACTCTGCATAAAAATCAAAGTTTTCAAATCTCAATGAGCCACCAAAGTGATTTGTTGGGGTTCTGAGAGCACCAATCACGGTGCCGGAAAACGATGCAATTAAAGTTGGCGAAGCAGGTGAAGAACGGTTTCCCAAAAGTGGGCGGACCGGAAGTAAAATGACGAGTTCCAAATGTGTATGGCATCAGTGCTGCCCTTACTTGGCTACTACCAACATTTTTAAGGTGTTAAGTCAGTAAGAAAATTATTAAGAGTGTCACAAATTAACTTACCAATTTTGCTATTTATTTCAAAAGGATACAGAATGTGCATCCCTTATTATATTTAAAGTGATGGTAATAATAAAAGTAGAGTAAGTTATACATAAATTACTTGGGGGTTGAAATCACTCTTAAATATAATTTAACCCATACATTAATATTACTGTTAAAGTTATGGAATCTCACAAATACAAAATCCATTTCATAATCTCATGATATCTTCTGAATAAGGGCAGCACTGGCTAACATATAAGTGCCATTGGCAGCACCTCCCATCCAATGTCAAAGTCGAAATTTCGAACGGCTCGGCCACCAAACAATGGAACCACCCAACCACCGGATGACTCCAACTCGATACAAAGTGTTTGCTCAATTTCCGCGCTCCAAGTCGATTAGAGGAAATTATTGTATGTCTCGTTGGCATGAAACACGGCCATAAAGCGAAATTGTTATCTGGTTTCATGGTAATGTGAGACTGCCCCACTGCCACCGCCGAAATCCAGGCCCCCAGATCCTCTGCCCCTTTCGCAAACCCTTTTCGCCGAGGAATAGTTTGCCATTCCCTTGCGGAAAACTTCGAGTCAACGTTTCCGTGCTTAAACAAACAGACATGAAAAAACGAGATCTAACGGTGAAATAAACACCGACAGTTGTTGGCCATAAACAAGGGCTAAAGGAAAACCAGTAAGTGAAATGGCTAGAACGAAACTGGCTTTCCAGTTCCCCCGACACCTACGAGGACAAACCTTCAAAACTATTTCAATTCTCATGCTGAATGACAATATATATTTTCGAAGATCATAACTAAGGAATAAAATATGAATAAGTCATCATGAATTTTTAGGGACGGGTAAGGTGGCAGGATCCCAGCAGAAAGTCACTCCTGCCACAGGATGTCTTTCCAATTTGATGATTTGATTTGTCACATTAAATATATTTGTATATGTGTGGAATATAAAATAAATCCTGTCGGATCTAATTGCCTTTTTATATGTGAGGTACCACAATTACATATTCATATATGGTGACCCTTAACTGAGGCTCGAAAAGAAAATCAATCGATGCGGTTAGATGTCCATTGTTGAATAAAACTTTGAGCTCTGCCAAAAATATCTTTACATTTTTGGTACATTAGAAAATTGACCGTGGTGCTTTAGGGGACATAGCAAATGATATGTCTTCTGGTTGTGGTAGAACTAAAAATATCTATTGGCTTGGACTTATCCAATTTGTATCTTATTAAGTTCGGACGTATCGCCTTGGGATAAACGGTGGCCTGGGTGAAGAGAACTCTTAGGGTCCTCGTAAACTGTCATTATGGAATACATTTTGGAAAAAAATTCATTTATTTAAATTTATTCATATATATTCGTTTAAGTATATCAAATTGAGTGACCGATGGGCTATTATTGACCAGAGTCTATATCTAGTTAAAATGGTCTTTTTTTCATTCTGAAAGACTCCGAACCACTTTTTGATTGGATACAAATTATTTTAAAGGATCTAACTAGTGTTACAAACTTACTATTAATTTATAATATTTTGATGGGCATTAGACCAGAGCGTGTAGCTTGCTTTCTTCTCAATATTCATTACTTGATCTAAAGAATCTGCCCATAGTTATAAAATAACGTTTCTTTAATGCGAATAGACTATGACCCTCCCAAAGACTTCCCCAATCTTACGGCCCTGCTCGTTGGAAACTTGTTGACACACTACACTTTGTTAAAATATTGACATTGGTGTCATGTCATTACGCCTAGCATTAAATGCTTTAACATGCGATGGGAAAGCTCCAGAACAGGAATCAGACTCGAATACCGATTCGGATCCGGGTTCCGAATAGGGGTTCTGGTGGCAACGCCTCGATATCGTGAGATGTTTGGGCGCAAAGTGAAAGTGGGTCGGCTTACTTTCACCCACGTGCCACTCGACGCCATACACACGTGTGTGTCAACAACAAAACACGAGTAGCGACAGCCCAAGGAATCGAATCCTAAGAAAAAGGCGCCACATTCGCCGGTTGCCTTTGTCGAGTTCGGGTGAAAGTTTCGCAGGTTGCGTTCCCGCTCGAATCTTGGTACGAGAATGAGGGACTAAAGTGAACACCTTTCGGTTCACTCACCTGCCATGGCGGCAAAATCTTCGAAAGGAAAGAGAGCCAGAAAGTCAGTGCCAATGATGAAGATCAGTATCGAGGAGGACTTCCTCATAGACTTTGTGCAGTGCACTTTGGAGCCGGAGGAGAGGTAACTCCAACCAAAACTAAGAAAACAATATTTGTATTGTACATATGATATATATTTAGTTATATACTGGGTCAAAATACCACTATTCTTCAAAATAAATCAACCAGAAATTTGAAACATTCTGAAACATATTTCCATATTTTGAAATTTTTTTGTAGTTTTAGCTCTTACTCACAATTTATTGAAATAAGTCATTTTTTTATCGCTCTAAAAATACTATATTTTCGCTGTATTTGATCCAATAATATTTCGAATAGAATATTTTAAGTTATAAAATACGAATTAAAAAGAATACATATATAAAGGTTTTTATAGTATACAGCGTTGAGTTCAATATATAGTATATCCTTTAAGTTAAAAAATAAATGTGTGGTAGGGAAGATTTAAAATGAAGGGTTATTAAAAGTTTTTTATATTATTCGGCGTTAAAACCCGTAATATAAAATTATCAAAGGTTTGGCTTATAGGGCTATACGAATCGCATTTCAGTATTCCTTCGCAGCTCTCGCACTTTGGCAATTTCTCCTGCTACGTGTTGCAATTATCAATTTTAATGGCCAAAAGGCCAAAGACATAAATGTCAACTCTTCGGTAAATTTATGCACGTCCCCGGCATTAATTAGCGTTGCACACTTGCAGGAGCCCTTAGTCCTGGTCCTTACCACCGCCCCATATCCTTCGGTCGGGTTTTATAGTTCGCCATCGCAGTCGATGACAGCGAACGACAAGGGTGTAAACTAATATGGTTCCTTGCTTCGCTGCGAAAGGCCGCTAATTAAGTCATAAATGTAATCAATGGAACTTTTCTTTTGTGACACATTACGCGGAAGGCGAGAAATGGGAAAATGGAGATCTGAAAGAAATGCGAACCTTGGTTGTAAGATAATATATACATTCAGTTTTTTAGTTCGGTTAAAGTAGGGACACTAAAATGATTTAAAAAGAAGAAATAACTATTGGGAATCAGATTAAGACTTTTTCAAATTGACAGCCAGTGTATAAGAAGATTCAGAGAAACATGTTTCTTAGTTACTTTGTTTTTTTAGTAAGCCCTTGATTTCTTAAGCAACATTTTATACTAGATAATCACCTAATCAAAAATTCATAGATATAAAAAATATCAAAATCATTATTCGTACGGCGGAACATGTGTATGTTTGGCATCTGATGTCTTTCATAAAATCTTTTATTTTAATAAAGACATGCATATGAAAGTACCCAATAAATCATTTCCACTGGCAGCACTTACAGCAGTAACATAAACCCCCACATACAAAAAAGGATAGATTTTTAATGCGTTATTGAGCTGAATAGTGCCACAAATGGCCAAAGGCAATCGGATATGCGTTAACCCACTCGGCTCTCACGCACTCCCCTGCAAAAATGGGTTAATGCCAGGGGATTCCCAGGTGGGCGGGGCCGTAAATCAGGGCCCACCTGAACAGTCGTGACAGCTGCGGATGTCGGATGCGACCGCTGCAAATGTCACGGGACCTGCACTCGGGAAGTTTCGCGGAAGTTGCAATAAAAAGATGTGAACTATCGCAGGAACTATCACGAACGACTGGGGGTTTTCTTGTTTATGGCGAGCGGGTCATAAATCGAGGCTTGTAACTCGGGATTTTCTAGGGCACAGCGCAGACATGACAGATTGCTTTCTTACCGCAACCCCTTTGGCCACCGGAGCGTATACGTAATTTATGCATGTGGCATGTGACATGAGCCGGGTTATTGATACGACGACAACACCCATTGATGTCCTGAAATTTCATTATCAATGTCAATGCCAACAAAGGGGGGGATCTGACTTTCCTCTCACCTGCCTGGGATGGGAAATTGATTGAATTGAACTTTGATGACTTTGAACTATTGCCAGTTACGATTTTCGTGGAGACATCAAAGCCAACATTGTGTTATCCGTTAAAAATGTGTTTCGTTGTACGAACTGAGCGATTTTTGATTGAGTGCCTGCCGAGGAATAGTATTTTTGGCTGCGATCCAAAACCCGAAAAACCCCAGTCAGGCAATCCCTATAAACTAACCCATCTAATTGTCAACTAAACGACAAGCATTAACTAGGACTGACTAATCGCCCATGGCATTCCGAAAAAAACACATGGCACGAGTACGGGTTTATGTTTGTTAGATGAGTACACAGGTCTCATGACCTGCCTGCATTAAGTTGCTTTATAGCATGTGGAAATAAAATACCTATTTACCATATAGAACCGCAAAAAAGAAGAAAGAAGGACCATGTGAGCCATTGCTAAAAAGCCTAGCGAAAGTCTGAAAGTCTGACGAGCCAAGACTGTCTTCCCCCGGTATGCCCACCGCTCATCCATGGCTCCGGGCAGCTCAGCTCCCCTCTTCCGATGGGTTCTCTTCAGTACGGTCCCACCCTGCCCTGCATGTCTAAAATTACGCCAAATTTCGGGGGTGCTGGAAGGTGAGGTTTATATGGTTGTTGTTACTCTTGTTGCTGGTGTGCATATCACGTGAAAAATATGAGGAAAAGTTGGGAGAACAGTGGGACAGTTTAAAGAAAACCAAAAAACCATAGAATTATCAGCATTATAGCTCCAAAGATTTCCAAAAAAGATTTGCGAAGATTTATGATTTTAGTTTCTGTATTGGTTCTACCATATTTCCAACCTTTATATTTTACTCAGTCCTATTACATATTAAATACAAATTTTTTTTTTATAAGGAATATGTTTCAGAGTTAATCGACAAACCATTGTTACAAAAAATTGATTGTAAAATACCGATTTTTACAAACATGCAACAATTAAATTACATTATAAAAATCTCCAAAAATTTCACTACAACATTTGGTTATAATACAATTTTTACCTATGTTTTTCTTAATCTTTTCTTATTTTTCCGCTGCTTATGAATGGAATGGCATATTAGGTAATTCTAGAATCTAACTTAAAACAAAATCCAGTCCATTTAAAAGTCTTCAGATTTTACAATACAATTGAAAGAGTTATTATCCTGCTTTCAAAGTTCAACAGTTTACCACAATCTTTACCCAAGAGGAACAATGTTTTAGGGATAGTCTGGCCCATCGTATTCTAGGTGGTGTGTGGGGCCGGAGAAGTTGGAGAACGACTCCTTGTCCTTGTGTTGTCGGTTTCGGGTGTTTGGCAACCAAAATAAAATACTGGCGGCAGTTGGCAAACGCAGCGAGTGAAAAGCGCTATAGTAACAGGCCGAGAATGCGACCCGACCTCATTCGTTACCAACAGTTACAAGCGCTAAAACGCCTTCAGCGGACGACCCATGTGGGATTTTCCCACCTAGGTGTGGGTGAGTGGGGGGTTTTGTTTGGGGTGGGGGAACGAAGGTTGAGCCCGTAATTAAGCGTACAATTTATTGACTTACATTTGGGACGGTCATTAACATTGACTTGTCTCCCATTTGTTCATTTCATTATTATTGTACACTTTTCTTTGCTTCACATCTTGCTCTGAATTTTCCGCTCAATTTCCTCTGGCTTTTCTTTCTCCGTTTTCCAGTTTCAATTTGCCGCGCATTAGCGCCCGCCTGGAGCGTCTGATGGGCACCAATGTGGTCAAGTTGACGGACCGCGCCTACATGAAGGAGCTCCGGGAGCGGATCGACGAGGATTACCGCAAACAGTTGCTGTCCCGCATTCGCGCCCGGGAGGTAAGTCACATTTTTTTATACATAAAGGTTTTAAATCTGGGCATCCAATTAGCCCCCAGAAAATCCAGACACAAATGTGACCAATTTGTTTGGCTGGTAATTCAATTTTGGTAAAGTTTAGAAAAGGGAGAATGTGAGACGAGAGTCCTAAACAAATTTGTCGCCAGGGAAAGTCACGTAGGAAAACAATTGCCGAGGGTGAGAAGGGGTTGTATTAATTTTCTGTAAGAAATATTTCAAGAATTTTCTAATGTGCCATTTTTTATTCATTTTTATAAAGTTCCATTCATAGGACTTAAAAATAAAATGATATCTTCTTAAGTATTACATTCTCTTAAGATCCGATTTTAGCCAATCTGAATTAGAAAATTTACAAAACATTACAAAAATTTAATTGTTTTACTTGATAACGTAACTTCTATATAATCTTAAGTATTGAATCCTTGCAAAACTTATATGTAACCACTTTTCCGACCTCATAATGTTTATGACATAGTGTTTGAGATACTTTTTCCCGTTTTTTAATAGGATTTTATTTATAAGCATTTATTGATTCCTTCCTGGACTCCAAATTTTCCATGGCTTATTAGTATTCGGTATTTCACAGTCCAAAGGTGTTTATCTTAACCCTCCACTTGTTTATTGCCTGCGATTTTGTTTTCATGCCTACCTTTTTCAAGTTTCCCTTTTCACGGGAGCGAAAGTGTCCCAAAGTTTTTCAATGACGCCGACACCGCCTACTTATTCTCTGTTTTTTTCCGTGGGGCCAAGCCAAAGCACAAACAATTGAATCCAATGAGCCTCCGACATGAAAATGGCAAATCCAAGCCGTCAAAGTAATAAAAATTAGACCAGAAACAGAGGAGGAAATTCGGGGAGGCGGATAGCAAAAGTTGCCTTTTATGTCTGTGAGACATGCGAGTCTCCGAAAACTATGAAGTACAAAGTGCTCCACTGCGGATACGGATACTTAGAGATCTGTCTGTCCGCTATGTCCTTAAATGCAATTGCAGTTTACTGAAGTTTGAAATGATACAGGGGGCTATGGACTAAACTTTTCTGACGCTTCCGATTGCATATCCATCAGGTGCTGCGCAATGCGGCAAAAAAACAGAAAGATGAAAGGTGTCGAGGAGTGTTGATGGGGTTGGGAAATTGATAACTTGGATACTTCCCTAGCACCCAAAACTTCGCCTGGGCTCCAAAATATATGTTAAAAGCACAAAGAGGCTTTCTACCACCCACATTCCATAACATTTGGCTTTTATGTCAACCGCATACCAGCCGATAACGAAGTTCCAACGTTATTGTCTTTTGGACAACGGTGTGTTCTGCCATCAAAAGATTTTTATCTTTGATTTATTAGATTTTTCCTGCTGATAAAATAAAAAAAAACTTCTTGACTTTTATTTTTAATAATCTTTGTAAGGCTTAATTTGTTGAATAAATATATATTTTCCTATAATTAGGTCCAAAGTAATCCAAATGTTTTGTTTGCTACCATATTTGGAAATAATCATGAGTGCCACAGAAATTGCTAAGGGCTGAATTTGTGCAGAATTTATATTGATTCACAAGAAACCAACCCAAGAAAGCGCAAAGCGATTTCTATTAAAACCGCGATTAGCTGCTTTTTAAAATATGTAAATTATTTTACAAAGAATATATTAAAGTACATAAAAGTCGACTTACAGTATTTAATCAAGGTTGTATAATATTGTTTAGTTCTAGCAAAAATATATCAAGTTCCTAAGAACTCCCAGAACTAGTAAAGAGTTTGTATTATTCTGTAGACTTTCCCTTATTCTTTTCAATTTACACTTAATTCAACCATTTTATATACATTTATTCTTTCAATTTGCTGATTGTAGTTGAAGGAAGTGGAGCGCGAGCGAATGCTGATTATAGAGGGCAAGTCAGATGTGATACCAGACGAACTGGCCGACGATCCTATATTCATGGTCAACAAAGATGCCAACATGGAGATTCAGAAGGAGCGCTCCAAGGTGGGTTTAGTTCTTAACAAAAGCTCCATTTTAATCCGGTTTTTTCCGCAAACAGTTGAAGACCGCTCGGGAAAAGAATGCAGAGCGTTTAAAGCAGCAGGGCGTAAAATGGGAGCGGGAAAGGCTTCAACATGCTGCAAAGGAAGCGGAACTTCTGGCCAAGAAACGCGAGCGGCAGCGCCAGCAGAAATTGTTGGTGGAACAGTACAGGACAGAGGACGCGGAAAGGGGAATGGATCTGCTGCGGTAAGTCACGTTAACTCCGCCGCCATTTAATGCCGGTAAAATTAAAAATGAACTGAGGGAGGAACAGAAACAGCGGCTGCGAATAACAATACATTATTCCACGTTGACGCTCGGCTCCTTCTGGGGAAGCTCTTTATCCCCAACAAAATGGGCCATGGAAAAAAAGCTGGCTAAGATGCATGTATTGTAAAAAGATGAACCCACTGCCTTAAACGGCCTTCGGTGGGGGTGGGAAAATGTGGGTGCTGACAAGGAAATTACAGCCAAGCGCAGACCAAGGCTGAATGCTCTAAGTTCAACAAAAAGATTAGTTGGCTAATGAGGAAATCAAATTTTAAAACCAAAAAGGCAGCTAAAAAATATTAATATTTTGTATACCACCTCTACCTTCAACTTTTTAAGTAACCATTAAACGATAACGTTTTTAACTGCCAGGGAAGTATATAAATAAATGATCCTAAGTTGTAACTTTAAACTACTTCAGATTACAAATAATAATATATTTGTTTGCTTGAATTTTGTATGTTGATAAATGTCCAAGTTCAACGACTGATTAAAAAAAATTCGAAGCGTTATAATCGCTACAGTAATAGTAATACATTTTATCAAGCAGTTCCATAAACAATTTATAAATATTTATATTCTTTTAATAAAAGTCCCGAAATAATTATTCTTATCAGGTGATTCCCTGTGAAGCTCACCATAAGCAATTTATTAATATTTATATTGTTCTAATAAAAGTCCCGCAATAATTATTCTTGTGGGGTGATTCCCCGAAAAGCTCACCATTAACAATTTATAAAGACTGTTGCAAAATATTTTAGAAACCAACCAGGTTTTTTATGCTTGAAATAAATGTCCCAAAATAAGCATTTTATAAATATATAATACATATTAAGATATTTTCGTTCCTCTTTGACAAAGCAATCAATCTATACAATTACAATTAATATATTTTGGGCATTTTATACTAAATTATGAGTTAAGTTGGTTTTGATCTGGAAACCGTTTAGACTGGTGAGCTTTACAACTTCTTTAATATCCAACCCCCTCTAAAAAAGAGTATCGCAAAATGATGATGGAAACGTTTAGTTCCCAGGACGCGTTATTAAACAGCGTTCCCTTTTTTCCCCATTAATATGCATGAGTTGAATGTTTAGTGAGTTCGCTTCCGAATGGAGGCTAATGAAAGGAAAACTCTCCCACTTTTTCAGCATCGAAAACGAAGACTGGCGGGAGTGCGAAAAGAGCCTGAAGGAGTTCCTCGAACAGGAGCGTGCCAAAATGAAGGAGCGTTCGCTGCGCATCTCCCAGCCATTCTCATCAGATCCACAGGACATACAGAACATAGTGAGGGCCAGGTGAGGATTATCCAGACCAGTTATCCCTTTGATTTTAGGAGCTACACAATCTTTGCTTGCTCTTTAATTAGGCAAAAGTTCCGCGAGACAGAGCTACGTATTCGCAACCAGCTGGAGAACAAGCTGAAGGATGTGAAACTGGCGGTCACCACCCAACAACTTACCGAACTCATCGAGGATGCCCATCGATCCAGTGGGGAGATTGTGCGAGAGCCTTCGATAGAGGACGATGAGTACCACGAGGGCGAGCCACAATCCAAGTATCTGGACGATGTCACCGACGTCTCCGAGGAGACGGTGATCAGCGAGGACGCCATCAGTCTCACTCTGGCCAAGCAGCAGTACGCCGAGGAACTGGAGGCCGAGATGGAGGACGAGTTCAACCGGGGTCTGCTCATCTCCAAGCAGCAGTACGACCAGCTGCGCTTCGAGGATGAGAAGATCGTGGCGCTAAGGAATGCCAAGGTGAGTTTGTGGGTCCAAAAAGACTTTCAGATGTATTTTTATCATCCGCTTAAGATCATATGATTTAAAAAAAAAAAGTTTAAGAATATTTGTAAATATACCAATCGTTAGATACACTTAGGTATTTTAAAACTGATTTTTGCAGAAGCTTAAAAATATTTGTACTTGCACCAAATGTTTAATACATTAATGACTATTATAAAGTTGCATTTTAATTTGTTAGTCCATAACATTAATTAACCCCTCTTTCAGGACATTCGCGAGTTGTATCAACTGGCTGAGGAGATCATCATGGGCGAGGTCTTCGAGGAAGCGCCAGAGGAGTGCGAGGAGGAGGACGTAGGCGAGGAGCACGAACTCGACATCTCCTCAGACCACGAAGCCCATGATCCAGCCAAACCCTAAAAACCCGAGGATGGACCAATTTCAATGTTCTGTGGGCGGCGGGAGGCCGTTTTTCCTGCTGCACCACTTTTCGCCAGTTTTACAAAGTTTGGCCAAATATTTGGTTTTCCCACTGGAAGCCAAAATATTTCACCAAATTCTGCAAAAATCAGTCAGGATGGGGGCCACAGTTTGTTAATCATCGAATGAGGAAAAGCGGCACCCAAAAACGTCAGTGCCACTGTCACTCAATCTCAGCGCTTAGGTTGATAACTGTCAATAGGGTTTAATTAAAGCTGTAACGACGTGATAGTGCCCGCATGGAAATAATACCAATAAAGGCCGAAAAATCCAAAAACAAACGCATGAGTCAATTGCACATCTGACTTGACGACCGACAAGTATGCTACAAATATTTGCCCAGTGATACGAATGAGCGTGCCGGAAAGATATGCGGGCGGAATGGTGTTCTGGAAATCCATTTAAAAAAACCAAATCACAGAAATACAGAGAAAACTTTAATTGTAAAATTTTAAGAGTAAAATTTGGACTCAAAGTTTTCAAAAGTACATACAATTTTCAAGTACGTTTAAAGGACATAATTCTTTGTCGCAAAAATTTTGTTTAAGCATATCTTCAAAAATGTGTTTTAACCGCGAAATACTTTTTCAGTACACATATCCTAGCGTAATTATAAGAAATTCAAAAGATATTAAAGTTTAAAATTAAAAAAGTTTTTAAGAAATTAATATTCAAGTCAAGAGAATTGTCATGAAATGCGGCTACTTTTTAAACAAATCTTAAAATATGTGATTTCTTGACGAAAGTGTTTTTTAGAACACGAACCACAAATCTCAGCGTAATTAGCTGATTTGATTAGCTAATTTGTTTATCAATTGGTCTGGCACGTTGGCGCACATGCCGAGATTGCACATGGCAAAAGAGAAGGGCGTGACGCATTCGGATGAATCGATGTCCATTGAAAGGGTGGATGACATGACATCAGGCCCACCCGATGCAACTTAAGTCGCACAAGCCGATTACCACGTACTGAAATGTCCCAGAGAGAAATAAGGCCGTCTAAAAATAGCCAGGTCTTGGCCAAAAATATGACTTTTGCTTTATATCAGGAAGCCCCCGCCCTGTATCACTTTTCTCTGCCCTTGAGCACTAAAACTTTTCAGCGGGCTATTATTGGTTTTCTTAGGGTAAGTGTCATCTTCGGTTGCCCCCGGCGATTTTGGCAAGAAACCCCTATATATGCTTATTTTCCTGTGCCTTTTAGGCCAAAACAACACACACATACCGTCAAAACAATAACGAAAACATCGAGGAATCGTTTGAATTGTCCTCCATTACTAACAGCAATTTCACTCTAAAGTGTCATTTTTTCCAGGCCTGAGGGCTACAACGGTTGTTGACACCCGACTGGATATCCTGACCCCTCGATTCTGAGATTGCACTACTGCGTAGGATTTTTTGTTGGTCTGGAAAGGTGTTTAAAAGTCAGACAATTTAAATTCTGGCTGAAATGGAAAAATTTGGTTTAACATAAATATAACCCTAAAATTAAATATTTGGTTCATTGGAAAGCCATAACTTGTCAAATTTAAATGAAATACATTTTTGGTGATCCAAAGTTAATTTTAAATTATTAGAAAAAATCATGGGTTTTTTTTCAACAATCATTTACCAGTAGTCACAATTTTAATTATAAGGTATAATTGTAGCTTTGAGCTTTGATTCCTTTTACCTGGAATCACAACTGCGCCATTTGTAATTGTTATCACCGTGACCCAAATAAACAAGCCCAACTATAATTAATAATTATGTCTAACAGTTCCATCATAACCATCATCAATCTATATACAGAGACATGGTGTAATTAAAAAACCCATTGATATGGTAATGCAAATGTTCTGGAAAGTGTGATGTTTATAAATTCTACTACATTCTTTGAATTCTAGTCAGTTCCGTAGAACGCTTTACAATTACACTGCAGGGATTTCCGCAGTTTTATGCAAGGCAGTTCCTTTGGGGTCAGGAAACACCCACGAAATGACGAGATTCCAAGAATCAAATGACGCGTCCGGTTTGCATATTCCGTAAACTGTAATGTCAACAAGGGCTCCCAGCCCCCAACTTTTCGGATTATTTATCACCTTGCCTTTCGGTGGTAAGCCCGTGACGCCTTTTCGCGACTTGTTGCCTACTTAGCAGCGCATATCTTGGCCTGCTAAATGATGGCCTCTGACATTATTCATTCGACAATATCGTCGGAGCAGGCGCTAAAGTTTTTAAATGTCCCGAAAATATTTCATTGATAAAACCCCGATTCTTTGAAGGGAGGAGTGGCTAGCGAAAGCTTGTCGAAGCTTTTACGCAATTTTTTGGCGCCTCGACATCGGCTCTTTGAAAACGACACACTCGTCATCGGTCGGAGATGGCGAATTGCGTTTAACTTCGGTTCCGGCCTTATAAAAGGAGGCGGCTACGCGAGTCGACCACGCAGTGTTCAACAAGTAGTAGGAGCAACAGTTGACAGTCAAACCATATTCTGGTTCAGTAATTCGAACGGTTCCCACAAAAATATTTTAAAGTGAGTGTAAACGGTGTGTTTTGAATTTCAATTCCATTAAAACTCTTCGAAAGGTTCCGTATAAAACGTGGTTTGTGTTTAATTTGAGCCAGCAGTTCACGGAAAAGGATACAAAATCGTGACGCGAAATCTTAGAAATGCCGTCGCTTTCGTCATCAATTTCAGTGTCGTCAATGAAAGACCAAATACGTGCAATTAATTATATTTAACATTTAGAAAGAGGACAATAGAACTATAATATTTTGAACTGTTTTGTGCATTTATTCCTGGAAAACGTAGAGATATGAAAAATGCTTCACTAAAAATAACATAATTAGTTCCTTTTTATTTGTTTCCCTATGATATTTTGATCTAATTTTCTTTTAAGGCAAACTCGGAATGAAATACCGATATTAAATTCATATTTTGTAAAGAAATGTTCTTACTTTTTCATTCTAAGTTATATTAGGGTATGATCATTAACAGTATTAATTTATTTATTTTTCATTCTTAAGTACTTGCCAACTCTAGCTTAAATATTGACAAAAAAAATATTTTTTAAACATTTTAGCTTGCAAATATAGTTTTGTAAAAATATAAATGTTATATTTAACATAACAAAAATAGTTAAAACTCTAGAGACCATAACAAAACAAAATATCTTTTTAAAATACTTCTGTGCAAAAAATGAACAATTTGATACAAACCAAACGTAACATATTTTTAAGAAGACCTCATACTAAAAAGTCAGTTTCTTATTAAAATCTACCTTTAGTTAAAAAGGAACAAGGTTCCATGAAATATATATTTTATTTGGATCAAAGGGAAGAAAATATGTATTTGAATTATTTTATTTATACTTTAAAGAATTGGCCAAATTATATAACTGCCTTCGATGGCCACAAAATTACGTAGAAAAAAATGTTTTTGTCTTAAAATTGTATACATTTCCAACTCTATTTTAAATTCCGTGGTAACCATTCCATTTGAGGCGTAAAGAAAACTTAAAAAAGCACGAAAGACAAACAAACACAACTATATATCATTCATTCGCCTAGTGCAACAATCAACTGGCAGGCTTAAAATTATTAAAACAAAACAAGTCTTGAAAATTTTTTAGGAAAAGCAATTTATAAATATTTTATCTATGCCAATAGCTTGAAGGAATTCCCACCAAGGCCAAACATAAATGTCAAGCGTAAATAAAGTAAATAAATAAAATCTTTGAGAAACAAATACAAAAAACCATCAATATTTGCGGAGAATTTTGTCGAACAATTGCTGTCCCGACCCCGTTCTCAATTCCAAACCCCTTAAGTTCCACGTGCAAAAATTCCTGGCAATCATACAGTAATATTAAAGAAATAAATAAATCGAGTGCTTTTCATTCCAAAGCTATTTTCATGTCAGAACAATTCAGCTTCCCACTGGGTTTCATCCAGAGACCTTAGTTACAGATGTCGGTGTGTTTTGTTTTTTCTTAAAGTATCATCGGTTATTAAATTAAGGACAGAAGACTACGCTTTTGTTAAAGTTGACTTGGAGTACTCCATTTTCTATACTAGTGGACTAATATCTTGGCAGAGAAGAGACAGTAGTGCCATTATTGAAGGTTATTGAAAATCGCGAATCTAAAGTACTTCAATTCAGATATAAATTAAAGTAACGGACATTATCTATCATTGGCTTTTAAGATTTAAGGAATGGTAATCGGGGTTCCATGTAGCCAAGTAGTTAACATTTTAAGCATATAAAAACCAAAAATCAACGCTCAGCGGAAACCAGTACAATACATTATGGGGTAATGTATTAGAGTAAAGTTGAATTTTTTTATTTTTAATCAACATAAATTTTGAATTTTACCCTTAGTCTGGAAGACATTTGTTCAACATTCCAGTGAAACACTCCTTTCTCCATCTTTCGTTAAAATCATTGACGTCTGGTCTGCTGATTTTCATGCAACACTTTGTGGGACCCCCGAAAATAAAGTGTGAGTTTGGTTCTTTTGTGTGCAAATTTCAAGAAGTGTCCCAGCTGGCCACATTTAATCGGTCCTGAAATTATGTAATTTTCTCTGCAAGATTATTACACAAGTAGACCGTGTCTAATTGGCAGGAATCCGGCGACAAATGTCAGATGGACTTGTCCAACTCCCTTTTTTCCAGCTGTATTTTCCACATTCTTAGCCCTAATTAAGCAGTTTTTGCACTACACCTGTCATGTGGCACGTAGTTGGAAATAGTGGAGGACCAGGGCCTATATTCCTTTGGGTTCGGACCCATTTCACTTACACTTCAACTCAATTTAGCAATTAGCCGTGCGGTTATTGCGAAAAAGAAACGTATACAAAAACAAATGGGCCGACAGGTAAAAATGGACTCACATACATATATACGAGAGTCAGGAAGTTCCCCGCACCGCCAAATTAATTTCATTTTACCTTGGGGACACCGCCAGCCAGGGTAACATTTTTTCTGGTTCGGTCCCCTTTTTGACACTGTGTCAACAAGTTAATTAAAGCATTTTGACAACGATTCGTGTTGGCTTTGTTTGCCTCTAATTCGTTTTCTCCTCAACAACTTTGAACAAGTTTCGCTTCTTCAAAATGCCAAGTGCCAATGGTAGCGATGTAATTGAAAAAGTTTTCTGCAGGAAATGCCCCAAGCAAAATGCAGTTTATGTTGTAAATTAACAGAAAACAAAAATCGCACCGAAGTTAAAATTTTAAAAATAATAACCTTCAAAATCATTAGCGACGAAAATTTATTTGCAAATATTTCGCCCACCATTGAGTTGAAAATTTCCAATCAAACTCAATCAAAACGTGCCGGAAAATGGGAAAAGGAAATTGTCAACAGAAAAGTTATCTTCCCCCGGACACTTTAATGAACTGTGCAAAACAAAGGTTCTTTTTTCAATTGGGCGTGACAGAGATGATTTATTTTGCCAGGTTTATACGCTTAACTAACCAATTTAGACAATTTCAATTTATTTACAATTGAGGTAGGAAAGAAATTGTAAGAAAGTATCCACGTTGTAGGCCTTCACTAAAAACTTTTTTAACAAATGATTATGACTCAAATAAATGCATCATTTTTTTAAAAGCTGAGATTCTTTTTAACATAATTTACTTGTTTTATTCAGGTCTGAAAACATTTTCTATTTATTTAAACTGTTTTAAGCATACAAAATATTTTAAGCTAAATTGAACCATACATTTTTCAGTTTAAAGCCTACTGTTTACCAATTCTAAAGACAAAATACAGGCCATCGAAAACTAAAGACAATTAAATAAGAAACACTATAAATACCAAAAGCCTTTAATTTTGAATAATTAAATTTCTTATTTTTTCATGGGAATCTTCAAGCTGATTTGTCTAAATTTGGAAAGGCAAACATAATTTTTATTTGCTTTATCTGACAAATTAAGCTGATCCTAGACATCTCAACCAGCAAGACCGCAAGTGCCAAAATTTCCAAGCAACTCATTCATATTGCTCGTCAAGCGGTTGTTTTTAAACGTAAGAATTACAACAAGAGATGAGGGTTTTCCAGATCCCAAACAACCAAGGGTTTCGGCTAATAGCCTGAAAATACGCTGCGAAAGAGTTAAGCCCAGTCGCCCACGTCAGCGACGTCCCATACTTAATTAAATGAAACGCGAAAGGCCACACAGTGAACCCCACTGCAGTACCTGGTATAAAAATAATATTAATAAAAGAACAAGAACACATAGGATACAGTGAAGAAAATATAAAAAAAACAAGTCTTTTTTTTAGAATTTTCATTTAAAAACTTTAAAAACAAATGCGAGGATTCAACTATGTTAAAACTACTACTCTCATAAAACTACTTTCTTAAATTTGTTTTTAGATGGCATTCACAATTAACCGATTTGGTACTACTTTCATAAATCTATGGAATATTAAAAAAAAAATGAATTGAAACATATTCATAATCAGTCAACAAATCTAAAAGATTCGTCTTAATTGAGGCTTTTAAGAATTTATTAAAAGTGTGGTATTGTAATAGATTATGGCGGAGAAATACTGTGCAGTAATAATTTTTTCCATCTTATAAAAAATATTTAATTTTTATTTTGTACATTTATATTAAAAGTCTTTGAATAACTGTTACTAATGATTTTTAATAATCGAAATAAGAGAGTATATGTAATGTTTTATCATACAACTTTTATGTTTTAAAATACAAAATTAAGCCATACTTTTAAATTCTCATTTTTATTTTTAAAGTTTTTATCATTTCGGTTTGCAAATTTTTCCAAAACAACCATTAAACAAATACATAAATGTTTTCCGAAGTTTAAGGCTTCTTGCACCACAGTTCCCCGCGAAAAGTAAGATTAAGCAGCAAGGCAAAACAAAAGCCCAGGAATCAGCCGCCAAGTTATCTAAGAGACGCCTTCTGACGTTTCGCACCCACAACCCATTTTTTCAGTCTTCACCGCGGTCTTCGTTCTTTTTTTTTGGAGGGGGTTTCTTGGTTGTTTGCGTGTTGATATGCGCATTGTTTGCTTAAACACAAAGGGCCGCCCACATGGTCGGGATAATGGGGCGGATGGGGGATGGATGGATCCGTCCTTTACCAGTGGTAGTGATGGTAATTACCCGCGTGTACATACATCTCCACTTTTGCCTTGCAGAAACACCCCAGCATCCACATCGACAACGACCCGCGCATTAATCCCGAGCACATCCGTAGAGGCTGTATAAACAGTGACACCGCCATGAAGCCCGACATCCTAGCGTTCTGCATCCTGGCAACCACGATCCTGGGCAGCGGGACACGTCACGTCGCCGGCTTCCTAGCTTCCTCCCAGAGCACGCCGCATGGAGGAGGAGCCAAAGTGGGTGACCACCAGGGCGTTGCATCCGGACCACATCGGCTGCAACTGCCCATTTTCGGAGTCGCAGTCGGGGGCGGACCCGTTCGCCAAGAACCCCCATCCTTGGACGTCCAGGAGGCCCAGGAACGAGCTGTTTACGATCCCGGAGATGGTGAGTCATAAACATCCCTATTACCACATTTCTTGCAATTGACTTGGTCTCGACATAGCCTCGGGTAGACCTTCCAGCTAATCCCCTTTCGAATTCCAAGAATAACTGCTGCATCCCAAGACCATTTCAATGAAATTGTTGTCTACTTCAGCTTATACCCGTTTCTTACACTGTAAGGAAGTAATCTTATTTACAAGGTGTATTGCTAATAATATTACCTAGGGTATTCTTCTCAGGCATCAACTTATACTTAATTGAATTAAAAGGATAACAGCTCTGCCGTAAGACCATTTAAATCACATTTCTATCTAGTACATCTTAAACCCAGGATGTAACTAAGGTGTATTGAATTTATAATATTATATTCTTGAAGAGCATATTTTTTATGACTATGTCAGGATCTACAAATGTTAAACAATTCGAAAGTTAAACTTGAAGCGTGTGTTTAGCTTTTTATTGCTGTTACACAAGAATACATTAAAATGGTTATCTAATACATTCACCTTAAATATGCCTCATAGGTAGATTTCCGTGAATCCCTTGAACATGGCGTGATTGTCTCATTTGCTAGTCGAATTTTGGTTTGCCGACTTTTAGGCGACCCCTTTCAAAGGGGTGGACCAAGGGTTTAGGGTGGCACATGGCGTGCACTTAGCCATAACCACCGCCCACCAGCCATAATGCTCATGGTGACCAGTCGCTGAACATTTTCGGTCAGTGCACAATTTTTCAAGTGCCTCAAATTGTTGTCCTCGAACAATATGGAATATGGAATATGGAATGTGTGTTTGTGCAGAGCACTTAACACGCCCACCGAAGTGAGCGGGGATAGGTTTTCAAACTTGTTGACGAATTTGATTCGACGTTTGCGTTTTGCGTTACAAACACCTACCTCCCATTTCCTAACCCGCAACAAAATGTCATATCGGATTTTCCATAACTGAACTTGTTTTCCAAGTGATTTGATACATGAGTAAATGGATTGGAAATTTTACAATTATTGATTTATTAAGTTGGGAAAATTTTAGCAACTATACCTTAAAGGTGTGACTGGCAGCTTAATTTGATATATCAGAGGTATTGGATCAGATTTAATTATAATAAAAGGCAGATGGAATTTAAAATCCCAATTTTAATTTTAAAATGTTCCCACTCAAATGTTTTATTTCTGTATCAGGAACCTCTATTTTAGAACCTCTGACTACTTTAGCTTTTGAATCGCGTGGGTTCATGGGAGTCTGTCTGCGAAACCATCAAAAGGCTCCCGGCGGACAGTGATGGGCAGACTGGATGCCAAATGCGACAAAAGGCAGTCAAGGAGTTGCTGTGACTGCTGACTTGACTGACGGACATGGTCGAAAAGTGGGGAAAGCGCTAAGGGCGATATTCTGTGGCCATAAACTCATTGCCGCCAGTCAATTTCCGCCAGTTCATTGAAACGACAGCCTTGCCGGGGGGAAAACATGTTGAGGACTCCTCCCAACCAGCCGACAGACAGACAAACAAACTATTCAAACTTTCAAATATCAAGCGGCGGAAGTTTCCGATGGCCAGGAGCAGGAGACTGGGATTTAAATGGTGGCAGGCGGTTGGAAATGGAAATGGGAATGGGAATGGCGTGGTTGTGGTCGGATTAGCGGCAGCTTGAATAAACATTCAAATCGCAAATAAGAACTTTGGCTTGCTCATTTCACGGCAGAATTACTCCGCGCCCAGGAGCTCGGATTGGCTCTGGTTCCTCCGGGCCCCGACTACGCCGATGCGGTGTACAACGAACTCGAGCTGGCCAGCAAGTTCGAGGTGCTCAAGAAGATGGAGGAGGATTTGCGGGCCGAGCAGGAACTGGTGGACAAATCCGCTTTGCTCATGAAAATGCTAGAGGTGAGTGGGAGACAAAGCTCGCGAAATTTCAAGGTAAATGCAGCGACTTACACGGATAAAAACGATATTGAACATATTAATTTTGATATAAAACCAAAAAAAAACTTGTGAATTTAAACGTTTAAATAGTTCAAATGGTGTTTAATTTTATGTAGGCCTACAAAATCATTTTTTGAATAAATCAAAATTATCATGAAAAAACTTTAAAAAACCACAGTTAACTTTTAGAATGATAATACTCATACGAAGTTTAGATACCTATAAGTTTTCTCTGAGTAATTTTTTCGGTAAATTATTATAAAAAAAATATTTTTAAAAATGTTTAACGATATTAAACGAACAATTTTTTTTACTAAATTAAAATATCTAATTAAAAGGCACAAAATACACCACAAACATTTAATAGATATGTAATAAAATGATTTTTATCTATTCTTTTTAAATTTTTTAATGATGTAAGAATTAAGATTGTTTTCCGTGTATTACTATCGTTCAGGATCCCTCATTGGAAACTTTGCCGCTGGTCTACGTGGAGGAAGAAGAGCCGGAGGCTGTGATTCCTTCCGCTGGGGCCGAGGACTACGCCGACCTGGAGAATGCCGTTCAGGATTTGGTTTTGGGCCAGAGCAAGCCCAAGCGTTCGCGGTATTATCGCAGGTATCCGTGGAAGCGCCACAACAAGAATCGCGGGTAGGTTGCTTTTTATACCAGCATATTAAGCCCACACACCTTTCCTAAAATCCCCAAAGCACTGTAAAGAGTTCCCCCAATTATCATTTGTAGTTAGTAAATGTTGTCAGTAGTCTTAACGCAGAAATAAATCCCTTATATTTCCAGTTTTAATCGGAAATCCTCAAATTGCCAAAATATTTTTAATTGGAATTTAGTAAAAATGCTTCATGTTAAAAGGGTCAGCTTTTAAAGTATGTATATTATTAAAAGAGAACAATAAAAATTCTTTAAAGCCAAAATCTGGTAAATTCAATTTAAGCACATTTCCTTAGATCAAAGCATGACCCTTAAAATAGTAGAGAAAAAGAATGCAAAGCAATGATGGCAATTTCAGGAGCTTCCCAGCCTCCATCCACAGTAGTCTATTGAACTTGAACAACTTACTGTAATGCATTTATCAGAGTCTCTTTAGGCCCAAATGGCAGACACCCAGAATCCCCAACCGCCCACAGAGAGATCGATTATTGATTACTGATTACTGATAGCCGAAACGTGAACGATTTTGCTAACTACATAACCATTACCATTATCAGTTCTTACATGAATTCTATCAACAGCAACTATGAACCGGAATTGCGATATGCCTGCACACCAAGTAAGGAGGATATATTTAAGCTGCTGGTCAATCTGCACGAGAATCGTAAGGGCAACCACAGCAAGACGGTTAATTTCTGCAATCGCAAGCGTCCTGCCAAGGCGGTCTTCACCAACATAAGATTCCTGGGTTAAGCAGGAAGGACATGGGATACAGATGGTACGGGAAAAAAACAGAAACCAAAACCCAGACACCAGACACAGGACACTGACAGACACATATGTATACCAAGCATCAATTGTACATTGCTGACAAAGTCGAGCGCCAACCTGGAGAACAACAAGCACTAACAATTAGCCTAACTAACTAACTACTAACTACCCAAACTAAACGAACTAATCTAAAAATAATTCGTTATCTCGTAGGGTTACAAATCCCTCGGCACACCCCTAATTCTAATTGTAGGCAATTAAAACTTTTATAACTCTCAATGTTTTGTATATACTAACTAACTAAACAAACCAAAGTTCTATTAGCTCCCCTTGTTAATTTTTGATGTGGTCGTTGCGTGTGCTAATCCATGAAATTGCAAAAACGTTGCCATATCACTTAAAAGTCTCGTAACGTCTCTCGGTCCATTACGCTAGTATTATAAAATAATAAATGGAACCGCAAAACTTAATGCTATATCAATGTGTATATACGAGAATATTAAAGTGTATTAACATAAATGTATTATCTACTTACGAAATCAAACTATCTCTAATGTAAAGTCGGGAAGTATATATATTTCAAATAAACTTATAAAATACGATTATTCTTGTGCAATTGAATGGAGATCAATCGTTTTTCAATTGACGTTAAGGGTTGTTAAATTATTTCCAACAGAGTAGCGGTTTTGTTGCTTGAGTTTTAGACCACTATAATTTAACTAATCTTCCAAAAACTTTATTATTTTAACTGTCCCATATAAAATACGGAACTACGCATTGGAAGGCACACAAAAAGTTGTATTTAATCTCACGAGATTTCATTTTGTTAATAGTGGTCCTAACAATGGAAGACAAGTAGTAAATAGCCCTTTCTAGAACCTCTCCGAGGCAGAACTCTAATATCTTGACCTCCCATTTCTACTACAAATCCAGGTCTTTGTGTATCCCACATAAGAACTGTGATTGTAAACGAACCAACACCTTCGGAAGTGCGAAAACCCTGACATTGAGATTGAATGGAGCTGAGATTCTCGGGCAACTATTGCTCAGTGTTTGTTGAGTCAACAATGTAGCGACGTGGTTATCTATTTGGAAAGCATCTCTATCTGTGGATGACAACGTACTGGGAATGGGAATGGGTGGATTAGGAGTGGGTGAAGGTGGGGCTAGGGTGGGGGAACTCGTGCCTCCGGCTGGTAATGACCACCGAGCGTACAGACCTCTAACCGATGACTAAGCGGAGTGAAAAGGCGCATTCTTTATCATATTTATTTCATACATTCGCTATGACGTCAACACAATTGGTGAAATACGGATGCCGACGAGTTAAGATCGCAGGAAAACTTAGAAATCATTGCCTTGTAACAAATAATAATCTTATCGCGAAATCTCTCGTTCCAAGAAAAAAACAAGGGAGAACGCTATAGTCGAGTACCTCGACTATCAGATACCCGTTACTCAGCTAAATGGAGATATGCAAGCAGCAAAGCGAGATTAAAATGCGCCACCTACCGGCGGTATACAGATTTAAGCGTTATGGGCGTTAGAGTGGGCGTGGCAAATTTTTTTTTGGATCAATCGATAGGTATTGACGAGACCAATACATTTCAGTTAAAATTTTTTATCTAGCATGAAAATTGTGGGCGTCACAGGTTTTTGCGGTTTGTGGGCGTTAAAGTGGGCGTGGCAAACTTTTTTTGGGTCAATCGATAGGTATTGATGAGAACATTTTTTATCTAGCATGAAAATTGTGGGCGTCACAGATTTTTGCGGTTTGTGGGCGTTAAAGTGGGCGTGGCAAACTTTTTTTGGGTCAATCGATAGGTATTGATGAGAACATTACATTTCAGTTAAAATTTTCTATCTAGCATCAAAACTGTAGGAGCCACAGTTTTGGGCGGTTTGTGGGCGTTAGAGTGGGCGTGGCAGTCTACTGAAACAAACTTGCGCTGCGTAAGAAGCTCAGGAATCTGCACGCCAAATCTCAATAGCCTAGCTCTCATAGTTTCCGAGATCTCAGCGTTCATCCGGACAGACGGACAGACGGACATGGCTAGATCGACTCGGCTAGTGATCCTGATCAAGAATATATATACTTTATGGGGTCGGAAACGCTTCCTTCTGCCTGTTACATACTTTCCGACGAATCTAGTATACCCTTTTACTCTACGAGTAACGGGTATAATCATCTTGAAATAGAATTTTGGCTTAACCCATTAAATTTAGCCCATAAACCTATTTTCAGTGGTATAACTTTCTTTAAATAGATTTTTATGAAAAGAGTAATCCAGTTTAAAAAGTTTAACAGCTTTTTAAATTCTCTAGTTTTTTTATTGGTTCAGAAATCTTTTACACAATTAAAAAATTTTCAGCTAAATTAAATGGTATATCTTTCGTTTCCCAGTTAACCAAAAATGTTAGGGAACCAGCTTCTCAGAGGTGAAAAACACAAGGGTTTCGTTAACCAGAGAGTGTCGACGGATAGTTTAAGGACCTCCATGTAATCAAAGGAGCAGCTGCTTTGCTCGAAGGCTTTCGTGACCACTGGAGATTCGGTTTTTGATAGGGATTGTGATTGGGTTGTGACCCCCAAAGAGGCCTTGTCCTCATCCTCATCCTCCAAAGCGGAACGGGCAAAGGCCTCGTCGCCATCAAAGTAGTAAAATTCCTTCCGAGTAGAGTTCGTTTCCACCACTCTGGAAGGCTGCTGGGCATCGATTCCGCGGGCGTAGGAGATCCTTCTGGCCGTTCGGTAAGGAGTAGCAGTGAAGGGCAAAGGATAACCAGTCACATAGCCAGGATATCCAGGCCACAATTGCGGTGTTTGTGGTGGTAAGCCCAATTGAGGCTGTAAGCCCACTTGGGGCCACAAGCCCAAGCCCCTTTGAGGCTGCTGTGGCTGCTGTTGTTGTTGCAGGCCCAATCCAAATCCAGAGTTTGCATCTTGTCGACAGCCATCCGAGTCCTGGTCCTGGAATATCTCCAGCAGGAAGCCATTGGAGGTGGTGCTGCTCGACTGTCCAATGCGCATGCGCAGCGCCTTGCGGCCCTGATCCCAGTGCGATTTGTGCACATATCCCGAGCGACAGCCGCAGTATCGCTGACCATCCAGTTCCAGGAAGTCACCATTGCAGTTTTGTTGGCCTCCAAATCCTCCGCCACTGAATCCTCCACCACTCAATCCTCCAGAAACTCCTCCTCCATATCCCCCGCCAAAAGAGCCTCCAATTGAACCTCCTGAATTATGACCGAAATCAAAGTATTTAAACTGTATCCTCAAACGGCAGACATTTGGCGAACTCTTTTCTATGTAGAAAACACAATCTCTTTGCTGATTGGGCAGCAGATAGTTTAGGACGGTTCTGGGAAATCCGGGACTGGAGAGATAGAAGTGGTTCTGATTGAAGCTGCTGGCACAGCAGAGATCCAACTGACCTCCAAACTGCTGTAAGGTTTGGGAATCGTAATCCTTGAGCGTTACGGCATGCGGTTGAAAGGATGTGGTCTGATATTGGTCAGAGATCAGGGGCAACTCCTGCTGTTGCTGCTGGGGGAACTGAAGTTGCTGCGGGAACTGCTGCTGCTGCAGGATCTGCTGTTGTTGTTGCAGTTGCTGTTGCTGCAGGAATTGCTGTTGCAGTTGCTGTTGCTGCTGGGGATGTTGCTGCTGAAATTGTTGTTGCTGTTGCTGCAGGAGCTGTTGCTGCTGCAGAAACTGTTGATGTTGCTGGTGCTGCAGGAATCGCTGCTGTTCCTGCTGCTGCTGCAAAAGTGGCTGATGTTGCTGCTGCTGCTGGGGTGCACAAGGTGGTACAGGTTGGGGATATAATCCCGCTGGGGGTAGATAAAATCCTGCAGGATAACCCAGGCCAGGTGACAAGCCCAAGTCGAAACCCAAGCGATTTGGCTGCGTATAGTTAAAACCTGACTCCTGCTGCTGCTGCTGCGGAGATTGCTGTTGCAGGTGGTGGTGGTGGTGCAGCTTCTTGGGAGGTGACTTGGAAATCACCTGCACCGTGTCTCCGTCAACATCCTCCTCATCCTCATCCAGACCCCTGGCCACCAGGTCCTCCCTTTCGCAGGCCAAACGAGTGATGAGGAGGCGGAAGCCACCGTTCGTTGTCCAAGGAGAATCATCGCTTAAAAAACGCAGACGCAGGACTCCATCGGGAGTATGATACTTCTTGATTCCCAGTACCTGACCGCATAACACGTCCATGTCATCGCCATCATTGTCCAATCCAATGGCCAAGTAATCCCGGCTGCAGTTCTCCGAGATCTCCAGCTTAAAGTCCAGGAACTGGATGTGAAACTTGGTGGGGCAGCGGTAGGGGGATCGCACCACATAGTCCCAGCAGGTGTTCACCGGATAGTTGTCCGGATAGTTGGGTGATTCCACGAGACTCTGGCGCTGCCTGTATACACCGTGCAGACCGCACTGGGGCAGCTCATCGTGGACAGCTCCCAGGGATCCCAATGGGATGATGATGCCCAGAACCAAAACAAGGACTCCTGGCAGCTCCATTTCAATTTTCGACTGCCAACAACGCGCTCAAAAACGCAACTAACTCGTTGCGGGTCACAAAACAGCGATGTTTGCCTGCCAAAAAATAACATTTTACATGGGTGCGTCGCAGGTTTCACTGGAAAACAATTTGCACTTTTGTTTGTGGAGTCGCAACAAAAGCGTTCACTTGTCTGCCACTCTCATTCATAAGGCGCACTTTAGTTCACTGAACCTCGGGCAAAACTTTCGGATGGACAACAAGTTTTTGAGGTGCCAAAAGCTTCATAAAACTACAAATCCATTAGTTTAAATTCCGGGCGGAAGATATTTTGAGAACGAAATATATGACAGGGGTTATCTAATTGCTTAGGATATGCCATTATCAAGATCATATAGTTTTATCATATCAGTAGAACATTAAGACACATGACCTATTCCAATAAAGTTTCCTAAATGTTGACTATGATTTTCTCAAACCATTTAACCTTAACACTAAATTAAAAGACATATTATATTATTATATTTTTTTAATAAAACTCTTACTTGACAAATGACACCTCATTTCCTTTACTCAGTTTATCTTAAGCCAATAACCACAAACGGAACTTACATAACTTGGCAACAATGAAATACAACAAATTTTCGGTCGTGGGAGCGCATCGTGCATATGAAGCACGCCCCATAAAAACCGTGTCAAACAAATAAACAGCTTTTGAAAATAATACCCGAATATCTCTTCTTCAGAGATCTGCTGACCAAGTTTGTTTTGGCTTAAACTGGCTTATTACTAATCCAATTCGCTAAAAGACCACAGCTTTTAGATAATAATTTTAGATGGCGTTAGCCAGAAAAAACCGAAAATGGTGAGAACGTCGCAAACAACATCTGGCAAATCTTCAGCACTAAGTAAAATTTAAATGCTTTCCTGAATAAGACCTTAAACATTTTGACGAAGACATGGTCTTTACGGTAAATGAATTTTATTGCTGTGATATTGCATATTAAATTAATAACAAATTAAATCGGTTGAAAAATTTATTTTGTAAAGTTAGCTTTGGCAGCTTTTTTTTAATATTTAAATTATTTTAGCAGCAGAGGAGGAAATATATGTATTATTTCCGAAAGTGCTTTTAAACTTATCTCATAAAAAAATGGCAAAAAGTGGTTTCGCTTACAAACTTGAGGCGTAAACAAGATACAAAGTTTTGGAGATAATATTATAATAGCAGGGCTCCAGACCTTAGATTTCATATTATCTGCGCAACTAGTCATAATGGCGGTAAGGCCTCTAATACTCGAAGTGAGAGTGATGATATATGATTTCCTGATCTTTCTACGAAATCTCTTGACGAGATCCCTAAGTACAATTACATTCGTGGTGTTATTCAGATTATTCTGATATAAAAGGAGGGAGCGGTACTGGAATGGCCATCAGTATCAAAGTTACAGTGATTGCAGTCAGAATGTTTGCAACACCCCTCAGACAGCCAAATGTGCTGACCCAGAGCCAAAAGAATTCACCCGGCATGGATGGTCATGATAAACCCTATCAGTACGAGATCACCGATCACGGATACGGCAAGGATGCGGTTAAGGTTCTTCATGTCAGCCGCAAGGGACCTGTGCACACCATCCAGGAATTCGAAGTAGGCACTCACCTGAAGCTGTACAGCAAGAAAGATTACTACCAGGGCAACAACTCGGACATTGTGGCCACCGATTCGCAAAAGAATACCGTATATCTATTGGCCAAAAAGCACGGCATCGAGAGTCCCGAAAAGTTTGCCCTTCTCCTGGCCAAGCACTTTATCAACAAGTACTCCCATGTGGAGGAGGCCCATGTGCATGTGGAGGCATATCCCTGGCAGCGGGTTTGCCAGGATGAGACCAGAACTACCATCAATGGCAAATGTGAGAAGGGAACACCGGGGAGCTGCGACTTCAGTTCGATCGATGACCGATCACAGCACAATCACGCTTTTATTTTCACACCCACCGCCCTGCACTATTGCGATGTGGTTGTGAGGAGGACAGGTTAGTAATGGAGAAAAATAATAAAATTCTATCTTAAGTAATTAAAACTCACCCATTCAAAACCTTGCAGATCCCAAACAAACGGTTATCACTGGAATCAAGGGTCTCCGAGTCCTGAAGACGACCCAGTCTTCGTTTGTAAATTTCGTAAACGATGAGTTCAGATCTCTGCCGGATCAATATGATCGAATTTTTAGCACTGTGATCGACTCTTCCTGGGAATATTCCGGCACCGATAGCTTGGACTTTTTGAAGGCCTGGCAAACGGTCAAAAACATAATTATCCGCAACTTTGCCGGCGATCCGCAGGTGGGCGTGTCCTCGCCCTCCGTTCAGCACACCTTGTATCTCAGCGAAAGAGAGGTTCTGGATGTCCTGCCGCAGGTGTCGGTCATATCGATGACCATGCCGAACAAGCATTACTTCAACTTCGATACAAAGCCGTTCCAGAAAATCGTTCCAGGCGATAATAACGAAGTTTTTATCCCAGTGGACAAGCCACATGGCACCATCTATGCCCAGTTGGCTCGGAAGAACATCAACAGCCATCTTTAGGTCCGATCTCAGAAATAGTTAGTCTCAATTGAAATTGTATCAAGAAAAATAAAATATTTATAGAATTTAAAATATTGAAGATGTATTAGTAATGTAATATAAAAATGTGTTTAAAATCTGTTAAATCATATAATATTCTGGAAATCTAGAGAAATTAAAAAAATATTTACAATAATGAGCTCAATTCAGATTTACATGTTCAAGATCAACAGCACCTTAGCTAAAATTATCAAAAAAACATCAAAACTATTTTAAAACCCTAAAATGAGGCATCGTTTGTAAAAAAATTCTACGTTTTCTCTTTTAACCATTTTGGCAATCTAAATTCGCTATCTAAATTCGAAATTAGCATAAGACCCTCTACCTTCAAGAGCGTGATCATGACCAATCGACTGGCCTTGCACCACATCCTAACCACCCAGCTGCGGAAGGACTGGGAGCAGGAGGATCCTGACAAGACCAGGCTGTCGCAGCTGGCCAGGAGGGACAGGATCAAGGCCTCGCTGAGATCAACCCAAATGCCAGGACGCCACCTGATGCCCGACACCCGGAAGACCTACGACAATATGGTGGCAAGGATTCACTCGACCATGAAGTGTAAGCCTTTTATCAGGGGGAAACTTCAGACTCTAGGGTGGAAATCAGTAAAATTACAGAATTTTCAGGAAAAGACACAAAAGAATGATAGTACTTAGTTCTTAGTACTTTATTATTCCTACACTTTTAAATAATTACAATTACAATTTTAATCTAAAAAAGGATCTTAATAATCTTTAAAAAGAAATTACGCTGGAGTCGGCTATACATTTTTAGTAATCGAATTAAAGCTCTTAGTAAAAGAAAGATAATGGTCCAACCCTTATTCATTAACACACATACCAAAAAACCCAATAACTTATATTGAAGACTGGAAAACTTTCTGGAACTACTGAAGTAACACCTTGGTTTAAATTTGTTTCTAGAAAATGATTAAGATTCCTTGTCCCCTTAGCGGTTCGATCACCCCGAAGACCTCGACCAAAGGTGCCGTTGCCCGTAGCGGCGATTCCGACCATAACTCCAGGAGTAGCCCCACCATTACCATCGAAAGTAGTGTACAAGCATCCAAAACGCAACAAGTCGGGACGCATAAAGGGCGGTGGCAACTCCTCGAAGGGCAGTGCCCATGGGATGGCCACCAAAAGCAATGACAAGTCACTGGCGGCGATCAAGGCCATTGTGAACCATAGGTCGAAGGGTTCCAAGGGTTTCGAGCAGCATCATCGAATTCGAGAGGTTATTCAGCAGAAGACTGTGCTGGAGACCATGTTGCAGCAGCACAAGAAGTTGCAAAGGGATCGGCGAACCATAGCCCTGGATATCCAGCGGATGCGGGCTGACCTGGACAGGATTCGCACCAAGTTGGACACCTCCCTGCAGAGCCTGAACTCCACGCGCACCCTCTTCAGTGCCACCCAGAAGGCGAATCTTCAAAAGGCCAATCCCCAGAACACGGTTGTCCAGCAGAGGACCCCCAAAACCACAATGACCCCGACCCGTCGCCGCTCTGGGGTCAAACGAAAGATCAGGTCCAACGCCATTCCGATGAACCGACAGAGCACCCTGGCCAACAAGGCACCCATCCTCAAGCGTCGAGTTCGTTAAACGCCATGTAAATAGGAGCAAAATAAAAAAATATTGTATGAAATAAATTTAAATTATAATGAAATTGATACTTTAAAAATAAAAGCAGAAAAAGTTTTTAGCTTCAGCATATCATTGCTTTGAACGAGGTCCTAAAATATGTAAATAAAATTAATAGCAATTCAAGTTTAGTTGAATTTGAAAGTTTAAATATTAGGGTAACCATATTCTTTGTTCTTGGATATTTCGATTTTTAATTTTAATCGATTAGCTGGTAAAAATACTTTTAAAATAGTAACGATAAAAAATCATACGATATGAGCTACATTATAATTTAATAATTAACATTAAATTATGAAATCTTAACGGTATCTATTCAAAATTTATATTCAGGGCTGGGCCTTACGATAATTGATCGACCAGTGTTGTATACCATTCCACTGATATCGGCTTTTGCAAGGCGCTTTGGTATTCTGGATGAGAGTAAAAACGGTCACACAGCTCATGGCGTCTGTCTTTTGCCACCGGATTTTTGTTTTTCGTTTTTTTACCTACAATTTCCACCGGTTCGCTTAATTTCGCTACATTTGGAGGCCTAAGATGGGCTCCTCCAAAAAGCACAAGAAAAACAAATCGGAGCGACGCGAGAAATATGAAGGTAGGTCCAAGATAGTGATTCGTCTACGTGAGCCCCCGCTGGCACATGCCATCTCGCTCTTACGTTTTGCCGCTTGTTGTTGAGCATGTATACACTGGGAAAAAAAGGTGGTGAACAAGAATGACCATTAACGCTGGGGAAAAATAAAAGAAAATGTGCTTTAAAATAATTATTAAGATGCAATATTTATTTGCGAGCAAATTATGTAAATTATACTAATCTAAATTCATGTATTATACAGAATACAGTCAGCACCAGGATCCGGCTCAGCTTCAGCGAGGTCTGAAGCTTATCCTTAAGGTGGGATCGAATGCCACGCCGGAGTACAGTGCCAATTCGCCAATGGTAGACGGAGGACCGCCCACAGCAGCCGAGGCCATGATGTCGCCCGTTCCCGAGGAGCTCCAGGATCACCAGGGCCATAGGGAGCGGCACAAGAAGTCGAAGAAAAAGAAGAAGAAGAAGGATCGCGAGAAGAAGCACAAGCACCACAAGGAGAAGCGTCACCGGAGCAGGGATCGTCATCGGGACGCTGGATCGGATGATGATGTAGTGCCCGGTGCCGACGATGCCGCCTGCAGTGGTTTCGCCCCACCCTCGGTGGCTCCGCCGGCCGTCGATCCGGATTCCAGTCAAGATGGCTTCAGCTTCATGGACGACGATCAGTCACAGCCGCTGCCGGAGAATATTCTATTCTTCGCAGGCATCACCACGGACAACTCTCCGTCCAACTGTCCGGTGTCCAAGCCCATTGCACCGCGGAAGCTGGAGGATATCCTGATGGGTTCCTCGCCCAACTCCTCTTCGTTACAATCCTCCTCTTTGGGAATGGTGGGCAGCAGTCCCACCAAGCCTCTGCCCGACGTGAGTTACTCCAACTTATCTAAACATTAGTCCCAAATTAATAACTATATCATATACATTTCAGCTCTTGATACCTTCTCCCTCAACGCCTGGGGGAGCCAACTCCCTGAATGCCCTTACACCCAAGGCTCTGGAGGCACCAAAGACCCCCAGCAGTTCCAGTGAGTCGGGACGGGAACCGCGGAGCTGTGTGCTCAAGCTCAAGCAACAGAAATCGCCGTTAAACAAGCTACTGGAGCACCTGCTGCGCTTCCTCGAAAAGCGGGATCCCCACCAGTTCTTCGCGTGGCCCGTGACCGATGACATGGCGCCCGGTTACTCCTCGATAATTAGCAAACCCATGGACTTCTCCACCATGCGACAGAAGATCGATGACCACGAGTATGCCGCTTTAACCGAATTCAGTGATGATTTCAAACTGATGTGTGAGAATGCCATCAAGTACAACCATGTGGATACGGTTTATAACAAGGCAGCAAAACGTCTGCTCCAAGTCGGTATGAAGCACCTGCAACCGGAGAACTTAATGAGGAGCCTGAAGCCACTTTCGGGGTATATGAGAGAGCTCACTGCTAAGGAACTTGGCTTTGAATTGAGTTCTAACGATATGTCACGGGAAACTCATGATTCAGCGGACGAAGGAGCTTCAACAGGAGCGGAGGAGCCACCCACTCCTGCCCAACTGGAGGAGGAGGAGCGCAAGCGTGTGCGGCGTTTGGAGAATGCGCCAAAAACTCACTTCGAGCCTTATGTAGACGATTTGACGGGGGAGGAGATTTTGGCCCAAGTTCAAAATGCCGCGCAACAGGCCAAGCAAAGGGTAAATGCCAAGAAAAATGCCCGAAAGATGGGTTTCCTGCGGCAATCGAAAGATGGCAGTACCACCCTGAATCTTCTGATAAAGGAGGAGAACGAGGGTCCCGAAAGGGTAGTAACCATTGGCGATCTGGTGGGCAAACTGCAAACGGGAAGCACTCAGCTACAGGTGCGACAGGCTGACAAAAGGAATGCCATGAAGACTGTGAAACCACTAAGCTACGGCGCCTTTGCCAGCTTTGCACCCACTTTTGATTCCCGCTTTTCCACTCTGAGTGCCGAAGAAACTCAATTGGTCTTACGTACGTATGGTGATGCCTCCAGTGCGGAATATGCTGAGAGTATTCTTCAGTTCACCAAGGACTCTAGCTATGGGACGACAATTGCCAATGGTCTGCTGGATATCCTCACTAACGGCGAGCACAGCAAATCCCTGGATGAACTCTACAACATGCAGCTGCACTCGTACGAGCAACGCGAGATTTCAAAGTGCTTTGAACAGGAGGAGGAAACCCCTTGTCCGCAGGAAACCGCCGAGCAAATCGAGCAAGAGTACGAGAAATACAAAAACACCGCTGTGGACTTCAAGCGATTGCAATCTCTCGGCGATCTTGGCATCGATGTGAGCTTCTTGGACGGCATAGAGGCGGAAATGAAGAATTTCGAGCTCAACCGACGAATGCACGAGCATCTCAGTCAGAATTTGACACTTATCGAGAAGCTGCGAGTAACCCAGCACGATCGTTTGTCACAGCCTTTGCCGAATCACCTGGGACTAGTGCAGCCCGCTGGTCAAGAGGAGGCGCAAACCGCCCAGCAATTGACGCAGCAGATCAGTGAGCTTGCAAAGAAGCTGCCGCCTTCCGCTATCGCCGATCCCTATGCCTTACGAAAGGCCATGGGCATGTCCTATGGTATGTCAATATGCAAAAGTATTAGTTTATTTTATCTAAATTAAATGAACTCTTGTTTTACCCCAGCTGGTCTACCGCCACCTCGGCCGGTTTCTCCACGCGTCCAACTGCCCGAGCTGCTGCAACAGCCGGTGGCCCTTCCCCAGTTGCAACCGGTGGCCATGGAGATCGACGAGTCGGATGAGCAGCATGGCGGTGGAGATCTGGAGAACGAGCTGCGCGAGTTCCTCGAAAGCGGATCCGGCCTACACCCTACCAATCCGGCAGATGACAACAGCATTGTCGCGCAGCTGCTGCTGAACTAGGGGATTGGGAAATCTCCATGACGCGTGCTATGTTTATAATGTAAGATAATTAAATTTCTCTAAATTATTTTCATATATCCCATGGCAGTTGCATTCTAAATAAATTGTAAGATAATACTAAAATCCAGGTCTTGCTATTGGGGAAGTGTGTAGATCTTAAATCTTAAATAAAATCGTTATTTTACGACGCCTAATCAATAACTTTCTTGTTTAAGTTGTTAGCAGTACTGCAAGAGATAGCTTTTATTGAAATTATTAAGAGGTCTTGATCTTAAAATGATCAAATATTAATTCAGTGAACTTTCTTTAGCACTAACAATTATATTCTCGTTTCAATTTCGAACTTAAGCCTAAACACTTTCGATTTGTCTTAACTGTACCTAGGTAACGATTTAAGGTTTAAACACAACACAATTGCAGAAGAACAGGCCAGTGCTAGACTTCTTCGACGTTTTCCGAGGGCTTGGGATCTTCCACAACCTCCTTCAATTCGTCCTCAGCGGCGACAGGCGGTTTAGTGATCTACAGAAAATTACAATACGATGGGCGGTACAGTGAACATACACTTTGCTTTATCATAGTTGAGCAACTTCATTCAGTAGCTGTCTCCAGGCACATAATACTTATCGGATCATGCAGTTAGCTCTGCTATTTATCATTAACATGCTGGTTATTTTCGTCTTTGACAATAGCTCTCTTCATGCACTTAGGCTAGGCGTATCCTACAGTTAAGTACGATTAGGTTCTTAGCCTATGATTAGGATTTGGATTACATAATATCTTCGTATGGACTTTACCACATTAGAAACCGCGTGGGGCGAGTATCGGTTTAGTTTTTTGATTTGAGTATGGACCACTTAGAACCTAGACATTAGGCAGGGCTAAATGTTTTGGAACCCGTTTATATATATATATATATACTTTATATCACAAGATGGTTGATATTGGTTGTCCCCGTTTTTGATGTGATTTTGGTTAGTGGGCGATTTCAATGGCTTTTCAACGTTTTGTTATTGTTCTGTAGAAGTTTTTGAGTTGAATCTGAGCCCGATTGGCTGCTAGATGTTCTTACTTTGAAGCAGCGAATCTGGAAGTGGTCGCACATCTCCGATACCTGAAAATAGTTAATGATGGGTTATTAAAAAATGTTCTATATGCAGATTTAAGTGTTTATTTATTAAATTTTTTAGGTTCTAGTTTATAAAAACTCAAACAATATTGGGGTTCAATAAAATAGAATGCTTACCACGCCGTAGCCGTAGTGCCAGTGGGCTAATGTTGAGAAAATGGTGAGACCCTGGACTATCCATCGTTCGATATCCGGCGTGAGATCTGTGTCAAAGACCTTCTCGTAATAGGGAAAACAGCAAACTCCTACGGTGGCGGCCAGTGGCCACATGAGCACATTGAAGGCATCACATCGCATGTCCGACATTTGGGCTACTATTAACCGGCACTTTAAAATCGAATACAGCAGAATTATTAATTATTTACCACTTTAAAATTTCAATAGTACTTACTGCAATGTTTGAGAATATCGTGCCATAGAGTATCCATAGGATACGTGGCTCCAGATTAATCACATTGTTTCGAGAGAAGAACGACCAGATAAGAGTGATTACAAAAAGCCAGACGAACGCGAAAAATGGACGCAGCATCTCCCACATGGGTCGCATTTTTCCAGTCTTGTTTTTATAGGAACTGAAACAAAGGGATATAATTTAAAACCCGAAGCTAGGTCAGTTAGGAGTTAAGGACAAAAACTCACAGGTAGATATTTCTGGCGATAATCGGATGACTGCTGACCATGCCGGAACCAATAAGGACAAACTCAAACATGTTGGCCATTGTAAAACCATAAATGCTGAAGCGATATATCCCAGGTCCAAAGACAGTTGCCAGAAATAGCATTCCACTTACTCCCTGACGTAAATAAAAAATTGCAATTAATTTAAAATGTACCTAAAAGATTTATTTTCTTCACTTACCCACATGGTAAAGTCATAGCCCCAGGGCAAGAACATAACTCCAGTGTTGTACTTCTCCACATGCGTTAAGTAGAAGTTCAGAAATACGTTCCAGATCACGAAGAACATACGAATTGGTGGCAAATCTTGTGAGCCGAACAGGGAGAACAAATAAATGGGTATCAGTGCAGCTGAATAGGAATCCAATCCATGGTCGAATAGCTCTCCCAAAGGTCCACTCGTTCCAGTTCTTCGAGCCTGCTTGCCATCCATGCCATCTAATAATTAAATCGAATTTTTATAGCTATGAAATATTGTCCAATCTCTTTTAAAACTCACCCAAATTATAATAAATGAGTATGTTTATGGCCGCCACTGTCCACACCCAAGCGGGTACAGTGTTGCCGTTCTCCGAATTTGCGGCATCAAAACTCCAGTCGTAGTAAGCTATCAGGATAAAGTTGACGACAGTCATTAGAAACCCCACGAACGTCAGAACGTTGGGCGCCAGCCATTTGGGAACAAACTGGAATATTTAATTCCACTTTATATGTAGATATGCCAAGAAGTTCTTATATATTACCTTCACCAAGTAGTTCCACAACGGGTGCATCACGTAGACACTGAGGAAACTCGTGTCTATACTGCTGTACTACGGAATAAATAACAAGATATTGATTTAAATTACCGATTGACCTTTAATATAACTCTATTCCACGCACTGATTATTTCTGTCAATCTATAACATAAAACTCATTAAATTTGAGTTGCCTGTACAAAAAGCGTTTATGAAATCGTAAACCAGACCAAAACTCATAATCACAGGGTAGAGTTATCGTTTAAATGAGATTTGATAAGATATCTCTTCATACCTAGGAAAGTTCCTTGAAAAGTACTCTCACTATCGTTTTGTTGAATATTCATTATACTGACGACTTAAAACTTGTTAGTACAAGTTCTTAACCGCCATACTTTGCCCCGTCTTTATTCCATTGTCTTTGCATTTTGTAATCATTACAAGTACAAATTCCACATTTGATAGTAACCAACTCCCACCCCTCCACCGAATACGCACTATCTGTCGAATGCTTCAGCTCTTGAATCCGTGACAGTTCAATGCCTCCTTCTAACGAACGTTTGCGAAACATTTGTTTAGCCTGATTATCACCTAATTGATGACATACACTACTAAAAATATTCATTACAAATTTTGAAAGTTCAAGCTAGCCTGATTATCACCTAATTGATGACATACACAAGTAAAAATATTCATTAAAAATTTCGACACAGTAAACGGGATTAATTGGTCGGCATGGCTTTAAATGTAGACTAATCTAGTCGGCGAACCAACCGGAACTAGAATGAATCGTAGTCCGATAAGACAAGGTTTTTACACATTGAGAAATGTTTGCCTTAATCGGGATCAAATCAATGTTTGCTGATTAGATAAGAATAAAAATCTAGACCTTGTAGTTAACATTTTATATTAAAATTTTAAATATTATTTTGACTGACATTTTTGGAATAAGCAAAGAATAATTTTGAAATAAACTTCATTCTAACTACAAATTTCTCCGGGTGTAAAAAATTTTTTTTTTTTATTCACGAGTATGAACATTAATGATAATATGATACTATTTTAAACTAAACATTTAAAAAAAGAATTTTATAATTAGGTTTTGACTACTAATTAACGTAAATTACGTGGAATTAAACACTTTTTAGCTATAACATTTTTTTTTAATCTGTGACTATGTTTTGAAAGAACCTACTAAAACTAATCTACCTCACTGTTGAAAGATAGCAAATGGTTATAAGTAAAAAATAAACTATTTATTTAAATAGAGTAATTTGCCTTTCCAAGCCCCGATAACAATTTAACGATCTGTCGCGTGTTTCAAGCAGTCGTCTAAATTTAAACTTTAGAAGTTTTCTATGTTGTAATCGAAAAATTCAGAGAAAATGGGTTAAATCGATAATGTAGATTATGTCATTCCGGAGCTTTATATACAATAAATAAGAATTTACTAAAGTAGGGGAGTGGGTTCCCCAATTGGGACATTGATTTTTACCACCCAACCCATCGAGGGCCTTGTCTAAAAGTCCGTACCCCCTTTTTTGAAGAACTCACCTTGTAGCGCTCGAAGCCCCTCAAATGAGCCTCAGACAAATAGCGCATGCAGCCCATTTTGTAAATTGTATTTTGTACTTTTCTAATATGTTTTTGCTGTTCCACTAGTTAGTGAAAGATGATAACAGGGAAAGAGGCGACACGAGGGAGATGGGGGAGTTTGCACTTGGATCGGAAGTCAGATTAGCGCGTATCGGCTTGACCTTTGTATGGGTCAGATGGTTTACTCCGGCATATTGTATAACATCTGCGGATCTACACAGATATGCGATTTTCGGATTCGTTCACACGATGGCCCCCGCTAAAAGGCGGAATGCGGGTAAATTAAATAATCGCTTTGTCCGCTCTCTTGCACGCAACACGCAAACAACAGTTACTCTTGCACTCGTATAACTGGCAAAGAAGAAGAACCGGACGGAGACGAGCACGCAGACGTACTGCCCAAAAAACGAGAATATATATTCCGGACGGGCCGGCGTCTGAATGGGAACTGTGGACTTATCAGGCCTGAAGACCTAGCGCTTAATTCACGACGCCGACTGCAACTTGGGTTCCACAAAAACAAATCCCAGTGCGCACAGCACCAGAGATGGCAGCTTGGGCATTTTCCAGACTGATACGGGTTTTCTCGACTCTAATCCCCTGAAAAACCCATCCAGCAACGTCTTTTCAAAATGTTGTTACCATACCATTTTCAGTAAACTACATAAAAACATATCTTATATACATTTTTTGAGAAATTCAATGCATGTAGCTTATATTTTAGCAATAAGAGTAATAGGATTATCAAAAAAATTAATATTCTATTTGAACGTTAGTTTTCAAAAGATTCCTTCCCAAGATCTGAGGTTTTATTTCTTTGCCTATTGATCTGTTGGAACGTAAAAACTAAACTTGCTAGTTTCGGAATTTATAAATGTACTTAAAAAGTATTGAGAAACAATAGAAACTCACAGTTCTTGTGAAAAGAACATTGAAAATAATGTTTATACTGATGTTGTAAAATATTCACCAACCTGAACTTCGCTTTGTTGGCATCACTAGCCCGTACAATCTTATCGGGAAGCGATTGTGTGTGTATTTCGCATTGAATGAATGTGAATTAAAATTTGTAAAACGCTCCCACTCCATGAGCAACAAAATTGCTGCCCGACAGAGAGAGGTTATCAATCTCAAGCTCCACAATTTCCACAGGCAGGGCGACATTAATTTCAGGGAGATTTGTGGCCTGTTGTTTATTACAATTATAAACGTTAATGACCGCCCGCAAACGGATCCGATCGGATCATCATGCTGCTTTATGCGCGTGTTTTATAGAACACTAAAATTAGATCGAAGCCGTGTTTTCAATTTTAGTTCAAGTTCGGGAGATAACCCTTCGCAGATCGGGTTGCCAGGCGCCGAGGGGGCAAATCGAACGGAAATCGAATCTTAAAGATTAAACGGGATGGAAAACTGAAATGCACGGCCTAGTATAAACTGAAAATGTTTATAATGTTTAACAATTTTTGTATACTAAAGGCCTGTAAAATTTTTATATTAAGGGAAAGGAAAAAGGGTTGGTATTTTTCCATAAATAAATGTTTAATCTTTTATCAACATTTTGGCAATGATTTACACTCAGTACGTTATTAATTCACATACAAAATACATGCTTCACAATTTGGACAACAACTACAATTTGTTTACGAACTTCAAGTAGCTCTAGTCATAAAACTTAACTTTTGGTATTAAGATAACGTAGACTTTCTTATCGAACAACGAAAAACCCGAGTGATAAATAAGACAGAAAATTTACACCGACGCGGTGGGCAGTCCAAAAAAATATAACTGAAGACTTAAGTCTATAATGTGGTCGGGATCAGTTCAGACTACTTAATTCAACCATCTGGAGGTCTCCGTGGCAGTCAGACCCTCGGAGCGCAGACGTTGCAGCATGGGGCGATATATGTCGGGGGTGAAGGGCAGCAGGACACCGCGTTCCTGGATCTCACCTAGGATAGAATAGTTTAGAATTAGTTACTGGTTTATAAAGATGGATAGTACGGGAACCCACCATCTAGGATCATTTTGGCCGCAATGGCCGCTGGCTTGCCCACCGTCATCGCCATGGCGGAATGACCCTGGGACTGGCCATAAACCACAAAGTTGATGCCACGCTCCTCACGGCGACCGTCGGGCCAACGGATGCCTACTTCATGGCGCAGCACCACTAGGTCGCGCTCATCGCGTTCTGAAAATATTATGTATAATTTAACATAGGAAAATATGTTTAAAATTAAATGCAAAACCCACCGAAGGCCAGTCTCTTCGACAGATAGTGACTGAGCGTGTCCAGGGGAGTGTTTAGCTTCACCACAGGAGTATCATCCAGCAGACCCAAGCTCTCGATGCCATCTACATCCCCTATGCGCTCGGTCAGCTTCTGTTTGAGGTTCTCGTAAAAGATGCTCGAATCGGACATGCCCATCAAGTGAATGACCAACTGGCGCCACGTCACATCCGGTCCACTGGGATGCAGCAGAGCATGTGGCTCCGCATCAATCAGTCCCAAGAGTTGCATAGGTTTAATGGAAGCGGAAAAACCCTTGTAGCGAATGGTTCCGCGGAGCAGAGTGTGAACATCCCTGCCCAAGCCGTAGAGACAGCCGTATTTGGTGGAGTCCCTGTTGGGGAAACCCTCGAGGGCGAATCCTGGCAGGAAGTCCAAGCTGCGAGGACATGACATGAGTTCACCGCCTCCAGAAATCTCCACGATTTGTCCCTGACTCAGATATTTGGCAGCGGAGAGAGTGTTGAGCAGTACTCCTCTGGGGGACCAAGAGAACTTGTATCTCAAGGAGTTATTGGAATGCTCCGGTGCCGGCAGACCGCCGCAGTAGCTCACGAAGGACTCAACCACGGCTCCTTTGTCCTGCACCTCGTGGATGCACTCCAGAGCCAAGAGGTGATCGATTCCTGGGTCCAAGCCCACCTCGTTCATGATGGTCACTCCCTTGGCCTTGGCCTCCTCGTGCAATTCGGAGATCTCGTCGTTCAGATAGCTCGCGGTGACCATGTGGGTCCCTTCTGCCACGCAATAGCGTGCCACCATGCTGTGGAGACTGTAGGGCAGCAGGGAAACCACCACATCCGCCTTGCCACACAGCTCCTGCAGATGACCAGTGCTTTCGTTCACATCCAGATAGACGCTGTCCACTCCGGCATACTGTTGGGCCAAGCGATCGGCTTCCTCCTTGACCTGCGAGCAAACCGTGATGCTGACATCCTTCTCGCGGTGCAGCCACTCAACGAGGGGTGCGGACACCATGCCAGCCCCCAGGACCAAGACCTTCTTGTCCGACTCGTACCTTCCCTCCATCTTGTGACGCGACCGGTGGCTCTGCGATTCTCGGAGCTCCTGAATATACTGGAAGCCCTCGGTCAGCTGACCGTTGCTCGCGATAATAGCCTGAAAATAAGGAGAGAGTAACGGAATTAGCTAACTGATAACAGATGCAGATAACAAGCTTTTTACACAATAAAATAAATGGTTATAAATGTATAAGCTCATCTTTGTAAAACGATTTTTAAAAAGTTCAAGTAATAACACTAAACAAAACAAGGAAGAACGCTATAGTCGAGTACCTCGACTATCAGATACCCGTTACTCAAAGGGAAATGGAGATATGCAAGCAGCAAAGCGAAATTAAAATGCGCCACCTACCGGCGGTAGACAGATTTAAGCGTTATGGGCGTTAGAGTGGGCGTGGCAAAATTATTTTTGGATCAATGGATAGGTATTGACGACACCAATACATTTCAGTTAAAATTTTTTATCTAGCATGCAAATTGTGGGCGTCACAGGTTTTCGCGGTTTGTGGGCGTTTAAGTGGGCGTGGCAAACTTTTTTTTAGGTCAATCGATAGGTATTGATGAGAACAATACATTTCAGTTAAAATTTTCTATCTAGCATCAAAACTGTAGGAGTTACAGTTTTGGGCGGTTTGTGGGCGTTAGAGTGGGCGTGGCAGTCTACTGAAACAAACTTGCGCTGCGTAAGAAGCTCAGGAATCTGTACGCCAAATCTCAATAGCCTAGCTCTCATAGTTTCCGAGATCTCAGCGTTCATCCGGACGGACAGACAGACGGACAGACGGACATGGCTAGATCGACTCGGCTAGTGATCCTGATCAAGAATATATATACTTTATGGGGTCGGAAACGCTTCCTTCTGCCTGTTACATACTTTCCGACGAATCTAGTATACCCTTTTACTCTACGAGTAACGGGTATAAATATTATAAAAAGCTCTTACCGACTGAATGGGGTACGAGAACTCTTCCTCCGCCAGCGGTTTCTTTGCATCACTCTTGATGATATCATGGACATGGGGTGCCAAAAGTTCTCCAAACAAATCCGTTGACTCCCTTGGCAGTTGGGTGGGCATATTATCAATCGAGCAGACCAACACTCCAGGACCCTTAAAGCTCTTGGTGTCCTTGTTTCTATCCGCATCGTACAAACAGAAGGGAGTGTCGATCGTGGTGCACTCGTTCATGAACTCAATGGAACCACCAGGATCAGCGGAAATGTCGCAAATGGCCAGCATGCGATGCGGCAGGGCGGGACTACCCTTGCTGGTTGGCAGCCAGGGAGTGTTTGCTGGACGAAGCAGGTTCTTGGCATCCGGAATGCTAATCAACTTGGGACTGCCCACGGCCCAGTAGATGCCGTTTAAAATAACCGATGCATAGGGAGCTATCTTCGTGCTGAATGTGGAGATGTAACGTTCGGGGAACTCATCGTACTCCTTGGCATCAAAGCCACCACCTTCACGGCGCTCCAGATGATCTGATCGGCTCACCTCACAGCCATAAAGCTTGTTTTGATCTGAAATAAATTACGGATTAATAATTCTTTGTAAATTATATACTTTAAATTATACTCACTTCCATGTTCGGCAACCTTGCGGAGCACCTCAGGCGGGACATACTCTATGGGCAGCTCAGAGAACACCTCCTGGGCTCCTTGGGAAACGTTTCCAGAGCCAGTGAATACAAAGGTAAGTGGTCCAATTGACTTTGGCATCATGCCGAGTGAGATCTCGTAGCCACAATCCCTGATTGCCTGACGAGCCATCGATGAATTACGATAATTGTGGGCGGGTCCAATGTGCATGAAAGGTGTATGATGTCCCAAAGCCAGAAGACGCAGTCCAATGCCATGCAGGATGTTCACCATGCCAGCCACTCCGGCATATTTGCCAAAAGCCACCTGTCGTGATCCTCGCCCGTCAATAATTCTTTCATAGTCTATAAGTCGGATTTTCTAAGGAATTGTTGAAAATTATTTATAACACTTTTTTAAAGATAAAATATAATTCCAAACCTTCTCCAAAATAGCATCCAGTAGCGGCATATTAGATTCCTGCGCCTTAATGGTGTGCGAAAAGAAGCAGTAGGTCTTGCCAGGGATCAAAGCATCAATGGGAACTTGCTTCACTCCAAATATCACG